TCGTCATTCTTCCTTTTTAAAAGTTATTAAAAAAATTTAAATAATTCTTTTTTTTTAATGGTCAAAATATTCTCTGAACACTTCAAAATGACAATGATAATTAAATAGTAAACGAAATGTTTCCTCTCATAAGTCGGATGTACGCCAATTTATTTTCCAAAAACTCTTTAAACTGATAAGACGTTATCTAAAAACGAAATCTATTGTATACCCATAAACAATGAATATTTATAACTATTATTTGTAGCAATCTTTTTTTACTTTTATCTATTGTTTTGAAATTATTTCATTCTCCATTACCGATGGTCGAAACGACCTTTCCAAAGGACGTTTTTTTAAGTAGAAAGTGCGATTGTATCCACAAAGCGTCACAAAAAGTAATAACTGATAATAGAAAGAAAACCAGGAATCTCCTCTTCAATTCCTAACCATTTGTTTTTACTTCATCACAGAGGAACAAGTTTCAGAAATTGTCGTATAGCTGCAATTATTTTTCTTATCGAATTTTAAATATACGCCAATCTTTAAACCATCTTCATTATAGAACAAACTATCGCTGTCAGTTATGTAATTCCGAGTTATTTCCCGCATTTTTCGTGGTACACGGTTTCAGGCTAATTCCAATTTTCCGGGTGGTAGTTACTATGTACTGTACCTTCTTCTGTCTGGTTCTACTGAACCTGTTCAAATTTATAAAATTTTCAAAAAAATACTTTGTACGCCTTTTCTTATATCGGATAATTTTTCTAATATAACACTAGAATGATTACAATGGTCTCAAGCATATGTCGTTCTCCCAATTTTTGCATCTTGAATTTGGAATTCCTTTTATTCATTTGGGGAGATATATGGAATACTACTGGCTGCCCACGCGATTACTCGAAATACTAATACGAATGCACTTTATAAACGTTTGGTACATCCCAGCTAGTGGCATATATTAACGAAATTGTGTTTGTCTCCTATACTCCATCTAAAGTATGGAGGTCCATGGTGAAAGTGTTTGTCCCATGCATATTATTATTGACAGAACTCGAAAAATAAATGGTAGCAAATCTCACTAAACATCAAGGTAAGAAAAACAACGTACCGCCTTCGACCATTCAAACAAACCAGATTAGAAGCTTTTTCAAAGTAGAATTTAGCACTTATATTATGCATGGAATGGTGAATAAGTAATTACAAGTAATACTACTAACTGGACAATATTTATAAGTTTATTTCATATTCTAAATTTTTTGATCATCATTCACTTAATTTCTAAATAAAATGTTAGTCACAATTTTTTACTTAATATTTTTAGATGAAAATATAGCTGAAAGACCAGGCTAAGTATTCTTATTTAGTTTTTTCATAATTTTTTATTTCAACTAGTTACTGGTCATTCAAGGATTGATGCTTTTTGGTGGAGTTAAATTTTTGAACTCTGTACATTAATAATAATCTAATGAATTTTGAATATTCCTATACATTTTGAAATTATTTTCTACACTTTAAATGATATTTAGCAGAAGCAGTAAAAAGACCATTTGCAGCTGTTCTAGGATTGAGAAAAATATCCCAGTGATAAAGGATTTCTATTATATTTCATTAAACAAAGTTTACATTTAGAGAGTAACTAAATAAAGACATACCTCTCCTTGGCAACTAATATAAACGTAACGACCGTCATAACCGTCTCTGATGTGTTCGGGCATGTCTTTAGGCAAATCTTCTGGATCGTACGGCTCTGGTTTCCATCCATATATCTGAAATTGTATTTAATATTTCATTATTATTAGAGTGAGTGACCATAATGAAGTAAGTTTTCAATAGAAAATTTCTAATCAAACTAAATTAAGATAAACAAATATTAATGACAATTTCAATAATTGATTTTATTCTTATCCATAATGTAATTTTGACAAAACATTGCCTAATTCTACAATATAATACATTTATAACTGTTATTACAGTAGGCTCTCAATTTAACAGAATAACTGGGGAAAGATGATGTCTACTATTACTGGAAGTTCATTAAATTGAATGTGTTTTAAAAACATTAATAACAAACTATATACAGGATGCATTTAATGTTACTTTAATGTATAATCATAAATAAAATATCAAACAATCTGCTAAATTATCAAAATATTTTTAGGCTTTAATATTAAATTAATAATTAGTTACCAATTAATTTGACCAGAGGTAGGCAGATATGCTACAATCTCTTATTCATTTTAATAATTATAATAAATTAATTTTTAATTTAGAAATTTTTTGCAGATTATTTGGCTTTAATCAAGTAAATTGACTTTTAAGCTGATGTTATATAAATATTGAAATGTACAGTACATTGTGTGGACTAATTATATACTCCTTAACCTCAATTTTTTTAGCATACTTTATCTGGGAATAAAATACGAAGTTATGAATTTTTCTTTAGACAAACTTTTTGTCTACTGTATTTGGAAAATAATTGGATTTAATGTATAACTCATGCTTTATGTTATAACTAAAAACCTCCTGAAAACTGATGTTCTATTTCTAAGTCACAATGTAAGAAATCCAATTTAAAAAGAAATTTACCATAATACAGCAGTCTACCTGCTGTGTCTCTCCAGTAACTATCAGGAAAAGGATCTATTTAACATGACATTATCACATCACACATTACAAAGATAATCTACCTATTGATTTAAAGGATCAACAGATCTTTTAAATCAATAGATAACAGCAGATGAGCAAGGCAATTGTATTTTTATTATCCTTCCTGTTATTAGTATTATTCCAATATATCTGCATACTATTCAGTGTTATACAGATATGAGAATATTCATGAATACTTACATTAAATTTAAAAAACAGTATCTTTTAACAATTACTAATAATTCTTAAATTCAGGTATTTCATAACAAACTATGAGAAACATCTCTGCAGATTCAATTTAAATTTTCTTACTCAACTCTTTAAAATTTCTAATGTACATTTTACCCAGAAATTATTATTTAGAGAATTGAATTTTTTTTTAACAATTACTAATAATTCTTAAATTCAGGTATTTCATAACAAACTATGAGAAACATCTCTGCAGATTCAATTTAAACTTTCTTACTCAACTCTTTAAATTTTCTAATGTACATTTTACCCAGAAATTATTATTTAGAGAATTGAATTTTGATTTTTTCATATACCATTAATACCTTTAATAATTACAGTATGTATCCCTTGGGTTGTTTATCAATGCCATTGTTATTAACTTATTCAGCCAAATCTGTATTTTTTTGTCAATGCTTTGAGTAAAATAAAATATTTACTTTTGAAGAGGGATGAATTTAGAAAATCAATTTGCTTATTTAAACGTTAATAGGAACTCCAGTTTTTATTTTCCTCGGTGTTATTCAAATCTAGTGCACTAAGATACTTTCCATAACACTCTATAATCATCTTAACCACAGATGACCGAAATATAATTGAAATGTTGAATTTAGCACGTGTTTAAGTCTTTTTTAGGCTCTTGCTAGATTAATTTCAATTATATTTAGTAAAACCTTTATTTTAACTTGGCATATTATATATACATTACATTCACTTTACTATATTAATATTGTATACTCTTTATGCAATTGGTATGATGTGTTTTTAAAAATCAGGCATTATTTTGAATTTAAAATACACTGTTGTTCTTTTTCTTATGTAAAATGCTCGAAAGTGATAAATATAATGTTATAGAAAATGTTTATAAAGTATAATTATATCTGAATTGTTTTACAAAGTTTATTATTTTCTTGGTGAAAAGAGTTATTAACATCTGAAGACAGTGTTTAAAAATACAGTAATATTTTGGTGTATTTTATTGTCTAGTGATATTACTTAAATTTATTCTACTTGTAATTTTAAAAATGTGTTGCTCTGGCTCAATTTTATAATCAAATTTGTCATAAATATATTTTCAAACATTTTAATTTCATAATATTCACCTACTCTACCTACTGAAATCACAACATTGTCCCATATTAATACTTGAAATTCTTTAATCTCAGCTTATTAATTGATAAACATACATATATCATTTATGTAATTCATGCTAGCAATTATCAATTAACAAGTTGCAAAATAAAATTATGTTACTTATTAATTCATCTTTTATTTTTGAAACTTTAAAACAGTCATTTACGTATCACATTTTGGCACCTTCAATTTCTAAATGAGTTGCTCAACATGCAAACTATTAGGGACATACTTACTCGATTCAATTTAATAAGAACGCATGGATGGCCGACGTCATAACCATATTTACGTGACTGTGTGCAGTTGTTTCCAATATCTTCTATAGCAAAATGGCAAACTCTCTTACTCTCATTGTCGTAGTCTTTTTCTATGTAGCAAGTATCAACGTGTTCTCCAAATTGTCCTTTCTTGTAAGCTATATAAAATTTCATACATACAGTATAATAATTAACATTCGTTATCCTATGAATTAATTAGATAATGTTTATATATAATTACAATTTGTTAACATTTATATTAAATTAAATATTTTAAAAAATTTAAATTAAAAATTTTTTAAACACTGAAATTATTGACCTTTATTGAATTAATGGCATTAAAAATGGATTAAATTATTTACATAAAAAAAAACCAATATGTGCTATTTATAATCTTGAAACAAGACTATTTCAACTGAAGATCAATAGCAGACAGTGAGATACATCCTTGTTATAGAGAGAAGCCAATTAAATATAATTTGAACAGATCAAATAATATTGAACTATAAGAAATAACAACAAAGAATTAACAAGTGCCAACAAAAAAGTATAACCTAAAACATTTTAAACAAAAGAGAGTGACTCATTTCTTACATCCTGGAAGTGCATCACTAAGAAACTTGGCAGATAAGATAAAACTAAATTAGATTAGAACTGATGCCATACTTAATTCTAGATTATTATTTCATTGTTTTTATAAATTAAATTATATTTATCATATGTTATTCTAACCATGTTTAAAATTATAATTCATGTTACCATGGCAAGGGTTTGTTTACGTTTATTCACATTCACCTTGATCTCTTCAAGATGAAAAATAATAATAATAATTTAATATTTATAAAATGCCAATATAATAATAAATTAAAAATCAATTATTATATTACAATTTATCAAAAATATTGAAAAATAAAATTAATGAGAAATAATCCTTATTAATATAAAATTATTTCATATATTTATGAAATAAATAGTAACGATTACATTACTTTCCCGTTTATCTTTCTCTTCTCTTGTCGGACATCAGTAGATTTACCATTGACATTCTCTAAAAAAAATTTCAATTTAAAAATTGTTACAAAATTGTTTAAAATAACATAAAATTTCCGACAATAAATCAATTTAAAACTAAGGAATTGTAAGTTTAAATTGATTTATTGTTGGAAATTTTATGATATTTTAAATAATTTTGTAACAATTTTTAAATTGAAATTTTTTTTAGAGAATGTCAATGGTAAATCTACTGATGAGGGACCAACAGATCCAAAATACAAAGATATCATGTATGTGCTCAGTTTATAAATAAAGACGGTTTTTCTGACTTTACTTAATTTGCTGAACCAGTTTTCTACTATAATAAGTCCTAATAATAGACAGGTCCTAGTTGACGATTTAAGTTTAAATTAATAAATTAAGGACACAAAGGCATTTAAATTTGAAGTAAGACATCAATTAGTACAAACCAACAAACTAAAATTTACAAACAGAAAAAAAAAGAAACAAAATAAAGAAAAAGAAATAAATTCAGTGGGTGTAGTGTATGAATTAAAGTGTAATTGCAATAATAATAACAAAGGAATTTATATAGGAGAAATGGTAGACAACTTAAGAATAGATTAAAAGAACATTTAACTGCATTAATCTTTGTAGAGAGGGTTAGTCAGGTATGGTGCTATCACAATGTAGTGGAGAATAAATGTGGGAAATTTTTTATGAATTTTCTTACGCGTTTTTCTCGTTTCTGTTTCAGAAAAATTTTTTTAAACAGTTATGTCTAGTAAAGTAAAAAAACAAAAAATAATAATCTATCTTTATTGTCCCATAATTCCTTTTTTATGTGAATTTTTTCTGCGGTAATTTTTGGCTAAAATTTTTTTGCAGATATCAACATTGTTCTCCAGTGCCACCTGATTGCCCTTGACGGGTATATCCGTCGATCACTGCAGAGTGGTTAAGCATGTTCAGACAAAAATATCTAAGAAAATAATGCAAAATATTCTCAACAGCAGCTATGTTAAAAATGAAATGATATAAGTGAAATATATCATTAAGAATTTGAATGAATATAATAAAATTATGACACAAAATTGCAACTACTTGCTTGTATAATTTCCTTTTTATATTATCAATAAATCATCTTATTTGGTTTTGAATATTTGCATAGCAAATATTCAAAACCAAATTTTTATAATCCAGCATAAGTTACTTTACAGAACTAACATTTTTGATTATTTTGGATGTTCATCATAAGGTTCTGGAATACAAATTATGGTAAACCCTGCTAACTTGAGCTTCACTTAATTCAATGTTTTCAAAAAAATTGTACAGTAATTTAAAATTTCTTAACTGTAGAATTATTATAATGAAATTCTAATAATGAATGATTTCAATACAGTAATACCCTGAACTTATGCGATAGGTGGGACCGAGCGATAACCGCGTAAGTCAAATTCGCGTAAGTNTTTGACAGATGGCCGTACTTTCCCCGTTACGTATAACAGGGAAAGTACTGTACTGTACAATTGGAGAAAATCCCGAGAGTAAGTTCCGCGCCGCGTAAGCGTCAACCGGAAGTGACGGGACGATAGGAAACAGAAGGAAAGACGAAACGGTGATTTTGAAAATCTGCATCTTTCTTTATTGACCGTCGCGTGCACCGATTACAAAATAACACCGACGAAACAACCAATAATAATTCGACTCGACGAAATCCCGACGGCGCGGGCGGCGGCCCGCTTAAGTAAAGCCCGCCGCGTCTACGGGCGCGCGCAAATTTTTATTTCCCGGGTGGAGGGGGGCCGCTTTTTTAGATTACCAGCGGAGGGCGCGGCCGGCCGACCGACCGACCGTCGGGATTTCGCAGACGGCGACCCGACAAAAAATCATAAATCGAAGTAAAAAAATACAGTTTAAACAAATTTACAGACCGACAGAAAGGGCGAGAAAGGTCCCCGCCCACAGACACAACTAAAAATACCGTCCGATTATTATTATTATTATTATAATTAAAAAAAAATATTCTTCCGAAAAATAAAGAAAAATATAATATATAATATTGGTACGGAATGCCGTAAAATAATTTAAACCCAACGTTAAATTACTTTAAGGGGAGTGCGGGCGGACCGAGCCCACCGCTCGGCCGCGTGCCGACGGGTGCTAATTATTTTGGCATTTAAATGCTTTCTAACTTGTTTTCCTTTGGAGTTGCTTGAGATCTGTATGAGTCCAATGTATAACTCCACCACAAAACAGAAATTTTAGTCCAAGAAACAGGAAAAAGTCACACAGTGCCATATCAGGTGAATATGATGCTTACAGAACTGTATTTGTTGAATTTTTGGTCAAAAATTCCTAAACAAGAAGAGTCTGTAGGTGCATTATTGAGGTGTAAAATCCACGAGTCTTCTTGTCACAAATTGCTTCATGCAAACAATGCAAAACACTGAAATAATATTCTTTGTTGACATTTTGGCCAGTTGGAAAAAATTTGCGATGCACAACACCATGACAATCAAAGAAAACAGTAAACACGACCTTGATTCTTGACTGACTTTTGACACGGTCTTTTCAGTCTCATTTCACCTTTCAAATGCCACTCATTCAATTGCCAAGCTATTTCAGTGCCAAAAGCATAGATCCATGTTTAATCACCTGTAATGATGTGTTTTAAGAACAATTCACCTCAAGAAAGCATTTTCTAAGCCACTTGAAGGTGTTGTTTTTGGAAAAAATTCAACATTTTTTGGGATGACTCAAGAAGCAACACTCCAAAAGCCCAAATGATCTTTTAAAATTGTTCAACAAGATTCAAATGATACTGGAACATGTTCAATAATGTCCCCAATTGTTAAATGACGATCATCAAGCAACAAATCTGACTTGAGACTTCTTGTTCATCAGTAAAAGTAGATGGTCTACCAGAGCGTGATTCATTTTTGATGTGTTTTCTGCCTTCCTCGAACATCTTGTACCACTTGAAAACTCTTGTTTTTGATAGACTATCATTACCAAAGGCTTTATGCAACATTTTCAATATTTCTGAAGCAGTAATTCTGTTTCAAAAACAAAATTTATTGCACATTCTTTCCTCAATTACACTCAACAATTTGAAAAAAAAAAAAAAATCACTGGCACAAAATTGCTTAAACGCAAAACATGTTTATTTGCAAAGGAAAACAAACAATGACATACAGATTGTTGCTAGGTATTGATGAAAGTAGTACCAAATAATGAAAAAAGTTAAGACAATGTCATCTTGCACATGCACAATTTAAATGAATCATTCCCAATACTTTTTGATCAGAGTAGGTCATTTAAGATGATAATTTTTAAAACTCCTAAAAGGCAATTAATATTTGCTTAAATTATCTTCAAATATTTCAGTTTATATATATATATATAAAAAAATCAATGAATCTCAACTCATATTTACTATATTGCACAGTTCATTAATGATATACAGTTGACCCCCTATAAGATATAGATACGTTCCAATTTATTAGGAATCTGATTTCTTACAAGTCGTTCCAATCACAGCCCGACACGTGTCAAGTTTATAGACTACGGCTGATTGAAAGGTTTTCTTCCATAAAATTAATCGATTCTACACTAATCCGACTCAACATTTCCAAAATATGTATATTTTTTCGTAGTTTTANTATTATTATTATTATTATAATTAAAAAAAAATATTCTTCCGAAAAATAAAGAAAAATATAATATATAATATTGGTACGGAATGCCGTAAAATAATTTAAACCCAACGTTAAATTACTTTAAGGGGAGTGCGGGCGGACCGAGCCCACCGCTCGGCCGCGTGCCGACGGGTGCTAATTATTTTGGCATTTAAATGCTTTCTAACTTGTTTTCCTTTGGTTTAAATCTACTGTTTTTTTTTTAACGCGTCGTGTATCGACCACTTCCGCCGCCGGACGCCCGATTCCCTCCTTGACGTTTTCTTTCGCACCCCAAGAACACGCTCCTTCCGCGCGTTACGCTGGTCTGGCTTTCCCGTCTAACCCATTGGGCGGAAAATATCTAGCGTAGATGTCGTTACCTGGGTCTCGAACCCCCTTCGTACCGCCGCCCACCCACGTATTCCCCAATGTGGACGCACCTTTCGGGAGGGTGGAAAAAGCCGGCGACGTCGGTCTTCGGTACACGAGATTTCGACTGTTTCTGCTTCTAGTGGGAATAAATCGAACGCCTTTGTAATGTGATGTATTGGGCGTACGCGTATACGTATATATACCGCACGTCCCGTACGTGTATGTTTACTATTTTCGTCTCGCCGGGATGATAGTTCCAGTCGAAACAAATCTGCCCCGCTCGATTAAAAATCTTCCTCCCTAAATAGCGACAAATAATTCGATTTTTCTAATTTAAAAAAAAAAAAAAAAAACTGGAATGAATGCTGCTAACCTTACGAGACAGATCGTTTCTCGTCGAACTTCGTGGCAGGAAAATATATAAATATATATATGTATATATATAATATATTTACTATATATATCTATATACACATTTATATATACCTATGCAGATTTTGCGTGCTTACCCGGAATGCAGGAATGTCCGTTAAATCACATTCACTAATGTTAAAAAATATTAATACTATGACGATATAAAAACTGCGTGAACACACAAAGCTGGAGTACGGTGTAGTACGCTACGTAGCAAAAAACCAACTAAAACTTTAAGGCGGCGGCGCGGCGGGAAACCAGGAATGCCAACGATTGGAAAATACAGACGGGAATAGGCGCGGAAAGAAAAATAGTAGTAGCGAGAAAGAGAAAAAAAGAAATTAATCTACTAATAATTCGAAGTGGACGCTACCCATTCTTTCCATACGATCGTGACGAATATTCTTGGCCCACGCTTTGCATTCGATGTTAATCAAAACGCCCGGAACCGGCTTTTCGAAATGAACGAACACGAAAGGAGAAAGATAACCCTCTAAGTTGCGGAACGGGAAGTAGTACCTGGGAATGGTACCCTTAGCAGGATAATAAGTCAGTGGCCCGATGTTCTCCTTGTCTGCCGGATTCTGAAAATACAAACGCAAAAGTTAAACCCTTTTCTTCGTTACGTATTGAATAAAAATACAATTATTCGGAATTGCCGTTTTAATAGAGAGGTTGCGGCCGACGTTTTCAACGCGAAAACGTGTACGTCGGACGTTCAGCGCCGCCTTCCTGTAAGCCTAGAAGTTTAACAATGGCGTTGGAACGTCGAGCATGATTCCACTGACGTTCCAAACGCCATTGTCAAACTTCTAGGCTTACAGGAAGGCGGCGCTGAACGTCCGACGTACACGTTTTTGCGTTGAAAACGTCGGCCGCAACCTCTCTAATATAAAAATGAATTACGATAATAAATCTAAATGGCCGGCCATCGTAACTTACAAATTATATAAATTTATTATTTTAACGTCGTATTACCAAGACAAAAATATCCAGCCACCACTCGCTTAACTCTCCCGGCTGTTAAGAGAATTTATTTTAAAAATAACTTTTATATTATTAACTGTACTACTAATTAGCCCTACGTCGGTATCGTTCTAATGACTAAGAAAGTATGGAGACACATTAGCCTACTAGCATACTAGACTGCAACCTTTTAATGATTCCCCAACAAATGGTTTAATTAACATTAATATTAACGATGCAAATTCGTGGGATTATATCAACAATTATCCGGCGATACCATCGGGTAAATTTTATTTATCGTCGTTTTATTATATTTGAAGGAAAACTAGCGCCGTATGTTCCGAGCCTTTCCATTCCTCGACGGGCTCTTAATTTCTTTAAAATAAGTATTTGTGGCAATTTTTTGATTTTATATTTATAAAAACTCCAAATGTATTATCTAGAAGATGGAAATTCGTTTAATTTTCTTGGATCTTCGCGCAAAAACTCGAATTTAACGAGTTCTTCCAGCAGAAATCACAGTTTTAAAGGAAAGAACATTTAGGAACTCGTTTATTTATTACATTTGTCGTCATTCTTCCTTTTTAAAAGTTATTAAAAAAATTTAAATAATTCTTTTTTTTTAATGGTCAAAATATTCTCTGAACACTTCAAAATGACAATGATAATTAAATAGTAAACGAAATGTTTCCTCTCATAAGTCGGATGTACGCCAATTTATTTTCCAAAAACTCTTTAAACTGATAAGACGTTATCTAAAAACGAAATCTATTGTATACCCATAAACAATGAATATTTATAACTATTATTTGTAGCAATCTTTTTTTACTTTTATCTATTGTTTTGAAATTATTTCATTCTCCATTACCGATGGTCGAAACGACCTTTCCAAAGGACGTTTTTTTAAGTAGAAAGTGCGATTGTATCCACAAAGCGTCACAAAAAGTAATAACTGATAATAGAAAGAAAACCAGGAATCTCCTCTTCAATTCCTAACCATTTGTTTTTACTTCATCACAGAGGAACAAGTTTCAGAAATTGTCGTATAGCTGCAATTATTTTTCTTATCGAATTTTAAATATACGCCAATCTTTAAACCATCTTCATTATAGAACAAACTATCGCTGTCAGTTATGTAATTCCGAGTTATTTCCCGCATTTTTCGTGGTACACGGTTTCAGGCTAATTCCAATTTTCCGGGTGGTAGTTACTATGTACTGTACCTTCTTCTGTCTGGTTCTACTGAACCTGTTCAAATTTATAAAATTTTCAAAAAAATACTTTGTACGCCTTTTCTTATATCGGATAATTTTTCTAATATAACACTAGAATGATTACAATGGTCTCAAGCATATGTCGTTCTCCCAATTTTTGCATCTTGAATTTGGAATTCCTTTTATTCATTTGGGGAGATATATGGAATACTACTGGCTGCCCACGCGATTACTCGAAATACTAATACGAATGCACTTTATAAACGTTTGGTACATCCCAGCTAGTGGCATATATTAACGAAATTGTGTTTGTCTCCTATACTCCATCTAAAGTATGGAGGTCCATGGTGAAAGTGTTTGTCCCATGCATATTATTATTGACAGAACTCGAAAAATAAATGGTAGCAAATCTCACTAAACATCAAGGTAAGAAAAACAACGTACCGCCTTCGACCATTCAAACAAACCAGATTAGAAGCTTTTTCAAAGTAGAATTTAGCACTTATATTATGCATGGAATGGTGAATAAGTAATTACAAGTAATACTACTAACTGGACAATATTTATAAGTTTATTTCATATTCTAAATTTTTTGATCATCATTCACTTAATTTCTAAATAAAATGTTAGTCACAATTTTTTACTTAATATTTTTAGATGAAAATATAGCTGAAAGACCAGGCTAAGTATTCTTATTTAGTTTTTTCATAATTTTTTATTTCAACTAGTTACTGGTCATTCAAGGATTGATGCTTTTTGGTGGAGTTAAATTTTTGAACTCTGTACATTAATAATAATCTAATGAATTTTGAATATTCCTATACATTTTGAAATTATTTTCTACACTTTAAATGATATTTAGCAGAAGCAGTAAAAAGACCATTTGCAGCTGTTCTAGGATTGAGAAAAATATCCCAGTGATAAAGGATTTCTATTATATTTCATTAAACAAAGTTTACATTTAGAGAGTAACTAAATAAAGACATACCTCTCCTTGGCAACTAATATAAACGTAACGACCGTCATAACCGTCTCTGATGTGTTCGGGCATGTCTTTAGGCAAATCTTCTGGATCGTACGGCTCTGGTTTCCATCCATATATCTGAAATTGTATTTAATATTTCATTATTATTAGAGTGAGTGACCATAATGAAGTAAGTTTTCAATAGAAAATTTCTAATCAAACTAAATTAAGATAAACAAATATTAATGACAATTTCAATAATTGATTTTATTCTTATCCATAATGTAATTTTGACAAAACATTGCCTAATTCTACAATATAATACATTTATAGCTGTTATTACAGTAGGCTCTCAATTTAACAGAATAACTGGGGAAAGATGGCGTCTATCATTATTGAAAGTTCATTAAATTGAATGTGTTTTAAAAATAATAATANAAAAAAATTTTTATGAAGATATTTATCTTAATTATGAAAATATACTAGCATGTTTTTTAATTTTTGGAACCTAACCCTCCTTTTCGTATTAGTTCTTTGTTTCGTATAACACGGATTCGCATAACACGGCAATTTTTTGGAACGTAACTACCATGTTATACGGGGGTTACCTGTACTGTACTTGCTATTATATTAATAAAATATTGTACTTCCAATCAAACATATTGCCATTTCTATGTAGGAATCTCTATATCTTGAAACGTGTATATCTTGAACTTTTTTCTTGTTTCCATGAGATTCAAGACAGATGTGTTCAGCTGATTGATAAATAAGATTTACAGTTCTACTACAGAATTAGTTTGGTAAGAACTAAAATAATGTAATCAGTTTTAAATATTAACAAAAACAGTTTATTTTAATTCCATTTTTGCTCTAATCTGAGGATGACCTTTAATCAAGGTCAAAAACGTTTCTTCAATTAATGAATTGGTGTTACTTACTGGATTAAGGTATTTTTGAGTTAAATATTTAGAATAATGATTTCAAATGTTTCATGCATTTCACATGTGAAAACCTGGTTTCTGTTTGATCCATCCACCAAGGAATTTTATTAGATGCTAAAGAATTTGACCTTTAAATACTACTTTTGTGAAAAACCAGAAGTATGATCGTATCAAATCTGAACTGTAAGGAGAGTGAGTAATAAGCTAATAAGCTGTAATTTCAGATTCTTATGTGTCTTCATTATTTCCTTAGTTCAATGCAGTCTATCATCATTATATGAAAAAACACTATTCTTTCTGATTTTAGTTGGCAAATAAATCTCAAGTGCATATATAAAATTTCATAATATTATTTTTCACCATATTGTGAATTTTAATGAATTCCAGTTAGTACATAACTTTCCAATGCCAGAAGTTCAATCATTATTCATTGCTTACCATAGAATGAAGAAAAGTTCATTTTTTAAAGCTGACTGTTATCCAAAAACAATGCACTAAATCAAAACATTGTACATACAAACTAGATGCTTATGACTACTCAATGAAAAATTCAGCAACTAGTCATGTAAAATTCCTGGCAAAAAAAAAGTTGAAATGGTGTCTGGCATCATCTGGTATGAGATTTTATTTAAAAAACTTTTTATACTGTTAATTATTAAAATATGGCAAAAAGCTTAATTTTGAGGATAGAAATGCATTTTATAAAAAAAAAACCAAATGCTAATCAGTAAAATTTTCATAAGGTCCAACTCCACTCAACATATGGCACATGAACATCTCTATAAACCCACCTTTAACCACTGAAATTTAATAGTATCAACCCCTGGCTGCCTGCAAAATTTCAGAAAATTTCAACTAACGGCACAGAAGTTATTAAGTTTCAAAGCGAGTGAACAAAAGCATGCCCCCACAAACAAACAATACAACGTTCTTGTCACTGTTTATAAAGTTGGCCATTTTTATTTCCCAACTAATTGCTGTCTCAGTAATGTTCATCCTCAATGCCATTCGTTATTCAATGTATCATTAGAACCAGTTTTTTTGTTCATACATTTGAAAAATTGCTACATTGACAACTATTTGATCAGTTGTAAAACATATCAACTCAAATTTTAATGAACAGTAAAATCCATGTAATGTAATCATTTTGAGACTTGCCCATACCAATAACTAACTGATATTTAATTAATGGGGCAGTTGAATAAAACTATTATTAGTGAAAATTTGGTTGGAAATTGACTGGTATCAAAATAATACGTAAAAAAATTAAAAAATGTATAAATTGTAAATATATTGTAAACATACACATACCCAGGATGTCTCTAATTAAAGTATACTATGAAACTATGAGCACCAAATTTTGGTTCTATGGAGGACTTATCACACACTATTGACATTGTTAAATTAATCACACAGAAATAGGTAGACACAGGCTTATTATGGGTTTGACAAAGCAATATCTGCTGCTAGTGGTTATATGGTTTATTACCTAGAAAGGTTTATTATTACCTTAGAATAGCAATATAGCAATACTTCATAATGCAAGTAACAGGTTTATTAAGACAATGTCATAATAAATCTATTATCATAACATAAGGACAAAAAGCAATATACCAATCTAAAGTATACTTTTAGTTAGATTGATAAAATTTTGTAGACATGTTTATCTCAATATGGGAAAAGTATGGACATTTCAAAAATAGTTACAATTTTTGCCACTTTAACGAAAGTATTCAACATGCTTTCTGCCACTCTCGGTCACATATTGCAATCAAATTATCACATTTGTAACAGCAGAGTGCAACACATCAGAACTTAAGAGATTCACTTCCTCTTCAGTTTGTCTTTAGTTCTCATAAATCTGCAACTCCACGGGTATAAACCCTACTTTTCAAATAATCTCATAACCAGAAATCACAAGATGCAAGATCAGGTGAATAAGTAGGACATTGAATCAGAAAAGACTGACAGATCACCCTTTCATTGCCAAAAAAAGTTAGATAGTAGGTTTTTCATAATGACTGCAATGGTAAGTCTTCCACCATCTTGCATAAATGTGATGTTATTCAAACATCCTCTTTGCTGTAGTTTAGGGATGATAAATGTTTGATCAACTGTGTATGAGTTACAGATCACAACTGTTATGAGATGCTGCTGTGACAGCAGTGACATTACAGAAGTGAAAATTGTAACTATTTTTAAAACAATCCATCTAAATATATAAAATTACTTGTCCTGACTGACTGACCCATCACTGACCAAAGCAAACTGCTGAACCTAGAGGTGAAATTTTGTACAGTTGGGGTGTCATGAAAATGCACACTAAGAAGAGATTTTTGGAAATCCCCCCTGCAGGGGGGAGAAGATTAAGGCTTAACCTGAAGAATGCTTCTACTGTACTATTTTAGATGTAATGTTTTGTTTTCAACTACATTTAGTCTTCATTGAGTACTTAGGTGTATTAAATTGATAATATTTCAGACATTGTTATATTTTTATATATTTTGAGTTTTTAACCAAATGTTCAAACCATTTTAAATTCAAATTTGTTATTGCATATTGGTTCAATTATAGAATGATTGTAAACATTCCAGAAAATTGATCAAACTGAAAACAGTTCATTTGATTTTCAGTAATTCTCATCATTCTCAACAGTAGGTGTTATATAACAATTACTATGGTTGTTGAAATACTGAATATAAACGGAGTTTGCTTGCAAAATCTATGCGGGCGAAGTTGCGGGTAACGGCTAGTAATTTTATAAACTGAGATAAATATAATCAATAAAATTTTGTGGGCACATCTAACAGTTTTGTCTACAGAGTGATCTAACGTGAACCTTAATAATAGATACCCCATATGTATGAATTTAAGACTTATTAATTATAATTCATTCAGTATTGTTTGCACACTATTACTTGCAGTACTGTCTTTAACAGCAGCTAGAATATATTTGAAGAATGAAATGCTATCAATTTAAACTATTTTATTCAAGTATCAATAGATTTAAATAAATTCTGAAACCATTTGACCAATCTTGACCAAATTCTGTATGGGCATCAATTCTAGGTCAGTAAATGTTGCAAGCTATTTGGAATCCTGATCAGATTGTCCTTGAGGAATATCATAGGAAAACTTTGCCATAGACTTAAACTCCAATTTTGAGTGTCTGCAAAACACAAATCATTCAGTTTCGTTCACAAGTGTAAACAAACATACCACGCAAGTTTTGCTTGATATTCCAAATGTTGAACTATTTAAATTGACAATTGAAACTAAACTCCAGTTTAAACAGCTCTATATTCATTATTATAAACAAACATTGCTGGCTGACACACTACACAAACTCAAAATCTATTATATATGGACTGAAAGGAATTGAGTTTCCAAAATCGGCCACAGGAGCAGATACTGTGTTATGAAATGCACTAAATTCCAGATTTATGCATAATCTCACTCAGTTCAATTTGCAGACATTAAATACAACAAATCTGATCCTAGTTAAAATTAATGTTTAAAGTGCTTGTTGAAACTAGTAATGATTGCATATATCAACCGTATGGTGATGCTGCTAGCACAAATAGACAGCTTAAAATGACTACAGTAGAGTGTCGTTAATCTGAAAGTCTGTTATCCGAAAGCATTTCAGTTGGCAAATTTATATTTTCGCTAGTGCTGTGGCGCTGCAATCTTTAGCTATATCTTGGGCTACTCCAATATTTTTTTGTTGATTTGTGTGTTTTAGTTGGCAATACTGGCATTTTTGTGTGGTTTTTTTGAGGATTGTGTGTCATGCTGAATCGAACATTTTTGATACTAGATCAACTTCTAAAGTATATTTTTTTTGGTTTTTATATTTTTCAATAAATTTATTTTGTTTGTACAAAATAAAAAAATAATTTTTAGTGATACAATAGCCACGATTATTATTTTAAAAAGTTTATGTTAGGCTTAACATCGAGAAAATTCAACGTGAAGCGACACACAACGGAGAAAAATTTCAACATGGGATAGGTTAATATATTTTTTCGTACATAATCGGTTATCCAAAAAATAAGTTATCTGAACAACCCCAGTCCCCAATTGATTCAGATAAACGACACTCTACTGTATTTATACAAAGATGATAATAAATGTAACTAAATTACAATTACAATAAGTAAAGTTTTATAAGTGTATTTAACTTGTCTTTTGGAACTTGCTAATACTGATAATATTAGATAACCGATAACGATATCCATAATTACAAAAAAAAAACAAATTCTACTAGAATTCTGTAGAATAATAAGTCTTAATCTGTGTGAATCTTTGTTTACGAACACATTTCAGAAACAATACACAAATTTAGAAAACTTTTCTTACAATCAAAGACAAAAATGTCAAGTATCCAGATCAAATTGTACAATTATTACATGTGAGTATTGAGTCATGCACTGCCCAACTGCATTGCCACACACATCTGGCAAATTTGAGGCCTCACAAAGTGTTAAAGGTCATTTTAAACCATAACACTTTTGCACAGGATATCGTCCCTTGCTGTGATATTATAATCACTTATTACCATCATTATATTCACACTAATAAAGTTTTAGTGGATTCCAACACCGTCATCTTGACATGCAAAGTTGTCAACAAGCTTATATTTTTTTGTGAACAACATTCCAAATAAAATTAAAAGTATCTTTTTCAAACATTACATTAAGGAGAAATTAAATATTTTTATTGTTATTATTTTATTATAATATACTTACGTGACAAATACTCATCTAAACTGTCTGTCCAATATCTCCATCCCTGAGAACTTCCATGTTTAAACCATATAAGAGTACTATCAATATTATCTGGAGGTGGCAGTGGTCTGAATCCTAGCCCTAATAAAAAAAAAATATATATATATAATTGAAAAGTACCAAATTTTAAAATTAAAAGAAGTCTTCAATTACAGCAACGTACACATTACAGTATTATTCTGCATATAAATATAAAGGCCGATCGGAAAATAAAGACCGATGGCAATTACCGCCAAGACAAACCGCTATTACGAAGAAAAAATCTATGCACCCAAGACAGTATCTACTAGAGTGGCCAGATGTCCAGCTTTTTGCCAGATTGTCAGCATTTGACTACTATGTTCTCCATCCAGCATCACCTTGTGCCAGACATCGATATGTCCTCCTTTTTTTGGGGTGTGATGAAAAATGTGTACAATAATAGTTCAGTTGTCACTTTGAATGAATTGAGAAAGCTGGTTAACATTTCCAGATGGCCCGCTGCACTTTGACCTAGTGGCACTTTGGCCTCTTAACAAAAAAATGGCCAAAGAATTTTACAAGTGTTTACAAATGGTCCCAACTTTTTATTGGACGAGGGCATGGCAGTGACATAGAGATTCCTTTCCACAATCTAAAGAAAATCAGTGCCTATATCGTCTCCATAGCATGTAGCAATGCTCGTACTGAACAAATTTTCTCACTGATGAATTCAGTATGGAAAAATGAGAGAAATTGTTTGAAAGTAGACTCTGTCAAAGCAGAACTCAAAATATGTAATAACTTCAGTTATGTACCAAACACTTCTTGCCAACAACAATCTATTGGAAATGGCAAGCAAAGGACAGAAATATAAAAAGTAAACAGCCACTCAGTTTTGTGTTGTTTTTCTTTTGTTTTTTTAACAAAATACTGAATGTTTCTTTTTTCTTTCTTAACATTTGTTACTTCATGTACGGTTTCCACATTTAATATTATCCCTGATTATTGAACATTCCGTAATTTATTTTTCCATTTTTTATTTTTATATATATGTATAAAAAAAAAAAACAGAAAGCACAGGAAGTCAACAGGGTGTGCAGAGAGTTACCCCTCCCCCAACAGTGTCCTTGCTCTTAGGCATTGGGTGATGGCCGTCCTAGTATCTACACCGGTCAACACCTTTTAATCACGGATCGGCGGAGAGCACTTCACAAAGATCGAGTACAAAATTTACCACTGTATTAAATGCAAGATTTCATTCGCATCACTCTAAATTTAAAAAACAACAAACGCTTTACTTAGAATGCAACCCCGACACAATTTGAAAACCCATAATCGTGTAAACTGCTTTTTGAAACATAGACTGTTCCCCAAACGTACAGTACGTCGGCCCAGAATCACCACACGGGCTGGGATTTTCGGGCCTGGCGGATGTGCATTTGTGTGTTATTTTTCTTTTGTTTCTTTAACAAAATACTGAATGTTTCTTTTTTCGTTTGTTTTTTTCTTTTGTTTTTTGTTTTTTCTTTTGTTTATGTGCACGTGTGCACAAAATTGGGAAACAAAAGTCACAACTGGCCCAGGTAGAATAAATCCATCTTCTGTCCTCCGATTCTAACATTCCGGATGTGCCCTTCTTCCCGCCGCCCAAGACAATAATTTTAATAAAAATGCCCAAAATAACATTTATGCCGTCACCACAAGACTTCTCCGTCAACGCGTGCTAGGCGGTTTTTAACGTCACAAGAGGGCCGAGCGCTCCGAAAACCTAAAAGAGAATCGAACCATCAAAAAATAAAATTAGAAAAAATTCCAGATTTTAAGGCCATACTAAGGTAAATGATGGCATTTATAAAAGAAACGTTTCGTTACAAACTCCATAACTCTTTCCATTCCTAATTAATACATATCTTTTTAACATCCACAACAAACAAAACACTATGAAACTTCTGTCCAAGTAAGTTTTGCATACATAAGGCTACTGTATATTTATGCATATTAACACACGGGCAGGTATTCGTATTACGACGATAAATAATAATAATTGAAATCCAAAGTAAAATAAAACTATTTTCGTCCAAACTTAACATTTAAAACATAATTTTATATCTTTTTAGTTCGTTACGCTCTCCGCCCCCCCCCGGTGGCAATGCGAAGCACCGTAAATCTCGTACGGGAGTTAAAAATGGCAGATAAGAAATTGCGGGAAAGCCCCGCCTGGAGGAGGGGCATAAATAAAGCGATCAAAAGTAGAGTAATTTGTTTTCGTAAACGGCTTTTTCTGCGCCGCCAGTCGGCGAAATCAATTTTCTCACCGCAAAAGCTAAATTTAGCACTTCTTCGGGTTTATTCGACGATACCTGACGAAAAATATACTTCCGGTTTCTTTTATCTTCCGCCGAATCCTTTCGGAACGGCACCGCCTTTTCCCTCCATCCCTACGGGGAAATCGGCGCCTCGAAACCCCCCGTCGCGATTTACGGAGATAAAAAAACACCAGAAATATTTAAACGGGGAAGACCAGAAATTAGGCGGAGGCAAAAACCTTTGGACGGCAGACCGGAAACCGAACGGAAGATGTATTTCCGTCGGCCGTCAGGCGCCACAGGGGGAGGGCGACGTCGGTTCCGTAATGCGGTAACCGCCGTCCAATAGTTCTTTAACTGGGAAAAGAAAGCGACGGAAGAAGACCGCACCTCCCACCCGCGGGTAGGGTGGCGCCCGGGGCCCGGTCCTGACGGTGGCTCCCACCTCGTCCCGCAATTTTACCGGCGCCATTACGGGACCCGTGCCGGAGCGGGGGGGGTGAAAGGGCGGCGGAAGTAAAGTTTTCTTCCCGGTTTATTTCTCCCGTTACAGAGAAATAAACCGATCCCGACCCGGATTATTCAGATACTCACCGGGATTGGCGCCGATCCTGCTGGACTGTAGTTTCCATGTGGGTTCGTAATAGTCCAGAGTCTGATAAAATATCACCAGCATCAAAGTCCAGAAGGTGGCCAGACACGTGTAGAAAATGATATAAAATATTGTGATTTTCACTGAAAAACAGGTAGAAAATTTATTAGCCTAAGAGACCGGCGGATAAATAGTCTTGGCGCTGGAAAACGAAATCTGCGCCAAATTTTCCTCCCTAATTTCGGATTATTAAATAGCGGAGGGATACGAGGGCGCATATTTTATGTAAATCTGCGAAATATTATTAATTTTCGCGGAAACGGTAGAAAATGAAAGACGACGGTCGTATTCTAGATTATTTCGGTATTTACAGTAAAAACCGACCGTCGGAAAAACTTTCCTCGGGCGGACTCTTTAACCACCGCACGAGGGTCGGGTTCCACCCGGGAGGTGGAGTAATTAGGCCGGTAATTGGATAAACCGTCCGTTCACCTTCGGAGGGTTCCACTGATTGCGGAGACGTCTCTAATCTGTGAGACGGTCCGAAGCGGCGCTTCCGTTTTTAAATACAGTATTACCCGACGGTCCGGGAACCGCGCGTCACTTCTGCCGTCGTTATAAAGGCCCGACTAACCCCGCCCTTCGGGGCGTCGGCGGATGGGCTGTCCCCGCTCCCCGGGCTCCTTTTTTCGTCGGTCTCACCCCTTCGACCCGCGGGTACGAAAATCCGTCGCGTCCCGTCGGAAAGCGAAGGAGGGTCGACCGATTGGAGTCTTCCCGCTTTCCGGAAGAAGTTCCTCCGTCGGTGGCTTTTTTCATCGGACGACGGCGGAAGAACCCGAAAGGGAACCGCCCGGAAGGGAAGAAAAGGGCGCCGGCCGTGGACGGAGGCCGTCGTCGATCGATACGGCGGCGGAGAAAGTAGGTCGCGTCGATTCTACTTCTACTCCGTTTCCACCTTCGCCCGGACTAAAATAACACGGAAAATTGGAGGCGGCGCCTTCTCCCCTTCCCCCTTCGGACGTCTCCCGGCAAAATCGTCACCGTTCTTCGCGCCCTTTTACCCTTCCGACGAAAAAAGCTGCGGGAAAAGATCCGCCGTCCCCGTCCACCTCCAAAGGCGGTCGTCTCGGCGACGGTAGCCGACGGCCAGAGGAGAACGGGCGGACGGAGGAAAGGCCACTTACGCCAGCTGAGTCCGGTTCGTCCCAGGAATTCTCTGGTGGCGGGATTCCATAGAAATCGAGCGAATTTCTTCCTCTTGCTCAGGTTTTCCGGTACCCTGAAGTACGTGCCTTCCTTCTCGGCCATCTTCTCGCACGATCGATCTACGCCAACCGAGTGCCCGGATCTTCGTCCGCCACCAGAGTGCGCCCTCCGATCCGTCCGGCCACTCTCGACTTCTACCCCTACGCTCGGCCGGCGCCTGCTTTTTCCCCTTTCCACCCACCGCTCGATATTAATTCTTTATTCGTCTCCGCCTCGGCGCCTGCACCCGGCCCGGACTGGGCCCTCTGGCGTAAATACAAAGGCCGATCGGCGGGGGCAAACCCGACCCATAGACTTTTCCGGAGAATAAGGGAAGAGAGGGGAAGAGTCGCACCGCGGGCTCCGTCTCTTCCCTAGGACCGGTTTTTTCCGGTTAATTAATACGACAAATCGGGTCGTCGCCGCTAATCCGGACGGAAGCGCGGGAATGTTTATCGGACGGTCGAAACTAAAGGATAGAAAAAGGTCGTTAATTCTAAATCGATCGGAAAATTACGTGAAGAAATACTCGCGGGAAGATAGAAAGGGGGAAGGAGCGCAGTCGTTTCTATCTCCGTCGTCGATTCCCGCTAGTCCGACGTGGAATTTCATGCCGGACAATCGAATTTTTGTCGTAGTATTCTACGATAAATATTCAACGGTTTCTTTTAGCGCCGCAAATACGTTGACGGGTGACGCAATCGGTATTAAGTTTCTTCTAGATTGCAGCGCGGATCGTATTTGTGTAACAGTTAAACGGTTACCGGGATATTTAGGAATCGGTAGAGGTCAAAGGATTAGGAATGATTTGAAATTAAAATTGACGATTTAATACATATTATACATATTTAACATATTAAAATACCTTCGATTACGTGTGTCGTATCGAAAGGGCGAGAGAGACGAATACTTGTACTGGTCTACCGAAAACGAACTTAACGTGATGTTTAAAGCAGCGATTCTGAACGTTCTCTTTTGTCTCGTGGTTGCCCTCGTCTTTGGTTTGGTTTGTTTGAGTTATGGCAACGCAACACTTGAACGATCTGCCTTGGGGATGCCTTCCGGGAAGTCTTTTTAAGGGAAACTGGCCCCTATTTAGGCGTTACAGACGTGAAGAAAACCCGGAAAATTCCACGCAGCCAGCCCTTCCGAGGGAGGCGCGAACCACGACCGAACTCCCAGTGTTCAGGCAGGGTACGAAGATCGCTTGACCACTGGTGGGCTCTCGTCTATTGTAGATCCCTCATTCCGAAAGTTACATTTTTATTGAACGGTAACAAAGGATTGTGAACTCTGAAATGATAACTAGAATTAATTAAAACGTAATACAGCTGAAAACTATATTCTTATATATTAAAATCAATAAACTTTAAAAAATATATAAAAGACTTATGCTAATGTTGAATTAAGGCTTTCAGTAAGAGTCTTGAGGCTGATGATAAGAAGCAATTCTTCTATATTTGCCTGAAAATTCACTAAACATAACCAAAAAAAGCTTCCCTGTTCTCAATATTCAATCTGTTTCTGATCTTTAATGTCAGATAAATCAAAATAGGAACTTGGAAACTTAAAAATAAATAAATAAATAAATTTTCATATAGGAAAGCAGAGAAAATTTATTGTCAATTTTCGCACCCGAATCAAAAATTGTTATTAAATTAATCATCACCGGTTTCGAGAACGACCATATTTTTAGAAAACAGAAAAAATTCATTAAAAACTATAAACAGAGCTGTAGTATGCCAGGGCATATCGGGGCAAAGCCGTGGTACTTTGTGGTACTTCTAGATTAGACTATGAACCTCGGCCAGAAAACAGAAAATTACTTCTTGTACGGTGTATTTGCGCAGGTTACCAATGTATAGGTCATTTTTAGCCCATTTGAGGAGTTTCGCAAGTATTGCGTCACAAAATTGCCCTTTGCTATTTCTGTGTTAAGAAACGTCCTTTGCCTTATCATTTTTATTAACGGCCAAAGCCGCCATTTTGTCCATATACCCGAACCTAATCGGAGTAAATGCGGTATATGATAAAAAACCGACCGAGATCATTTTAATCCGAGACTCGGTCGTTGTTTTTTAATAAAATTCACCTTTTTAATCAAATTAAAAAGGTGATTTCGCTATTCACCTTCACACGTTCAGTGTTCGAAGGTGAATATTATCCAGCACTTATTCCTATCGACGCAACGTTTAAATTATACTGTATAATTAGAATTACAAAGCATTTATGCATCGGAATTACTTTCCCAGCTCTGTTACATATAACAGAGGTTAAAGTATGGCGATCGGTCAAAAAATGAAACCCCAAGATTTGTGTGAGCGTGCGTATGTGTGGGTGGAGGCATGATTTTGTCCATCATCGAAACTTTATAACTACCCTGTTTTCTATTGAAAACCTTCTGAAATTTCGCAGGGAGGTTCGTGTATTAGGCGAAATGATACTAGTCAATTTTATATTAGGGAGTAGAGTAGTAGTAAAGGGATTAGAGATATAAACAGGGTCGTGTGACGTATCTCGAGTTGGGTCGGACTTAATAACAATTTTACTCGTAATTAGTATTTAGAAGCTTTTATAAAACCCTTCCCTACCTTCAAAATCAAGCTTTTGGCTAGTGTATAATAATTTAAAATATAAAAAAAATTTTTAATAAAATCTCGTAAGAGATGGCGCTACACATAGTTTTAAATGTTGCCGGGAAACTTAAGCAACTCGTTACCGGATTTTTTTTCCAAAATAAATAACGTTCAAACGAATTATGCGTTGGCATCTCTTAGCCGGTTATTGTGATTATTTGTTTTTTATTTCAGAAAAACTTAATGAATCTGCAAACCTCGAAAACGATTTATCCTAAATTTATCGGTAGTTTTCGTATACGAGAATAACCCGGTTAATAGTTACTACAGCAGAGCCTCGATTATCCGACTCAATTGGCGACTGGGGTTGGTCGGATAATTGAAAAGTCGGATAACCGAAAAGTATGAAAAAATCCATTATTTGTGTAGTATATTATTATATCCCATGTAATTAGTATATTAGTAAATCGCTATTAACCTACTTCGCGTTGAATTTTCCTCCATGTTAAGCCTATCAAATTAAAAAAAAAATAATAATAATCGTCGCTATTGTATCGTTAAAAATTAGAAAATTAAGCCTCGTTTAAATACTGGCTCCCTTTCATGGTCGAATGAGTGCTGTCAGCTAAAACACGTAAAAATAATATTAAAGTAGCCAAGACATAGCCAAATATTGTAGCGCCACATCACTAGCGGACATTTGAAATTTGCCGACTAGGACGGTCGGTTAACCGAGGTGTCGGTTAATCGGGGGTCGGATAATCGAGGCTCTACTGTACAATTTTTCCATAAAGTATGCTTTAAAAACAGTGCAGATTCATCCGTTTAAAGCATATTTTATAGAACGGAGTGGTTTTTAAAACGGCACCCCTTAAATAAAGAAAATAGCGAATTTTCCTTCTTAAAATTACTTTTAAATTTACTCCGTATTGACGGTTTTAATCGGCCGGTTTCTTATCGAACTGGGACTAGTTATCGCCGCGGCCACCCGACGATTCCCACGAATTTTCGGATAGGCGACTTATGGGATAGTACTGTCGGTCTGTTAACAAAGTACTCGTGTCCGTTGGTAATTTTATCCGCGGCAACGTCTAAAATCGACAGTATTAACGCTATGCATTTTTTATTTAGATAGAAATGCTTTTCTCCTCGTCTCAGCTGGTGGTCCTCTTCTACGTCTTGTGGCCGTATTCATTTTGGGTGGCGGAGGCCAAACTGCAGTACCGATTAGTCAGTTCCGATACGTGCGACAGATATTCTCTAGATGCCCTCTTTCACGAGAAGTATCGGTTGATCACCCGAGACGTTTTCGCAGGTAAGGAAATAAGGTAATAAAATCTATCGGAAACGTGAGTGAGGGAGCGCCGGAACACACAATGGAACCTTCCTTATGTAAATAATAATAATAATAGAATTTGTGCACGACGTATTTTACGTTATAAAAAACATTCGTTGTGAGTTTGTGCGTAACGTACCGGTATAAAGCATAAGAAAAGTTTCGCCTTAAAAGTTTATTTTATAAAATTGCGGAACCAATTACATTTGATCCTTTATCGACGTAGATGCGTCGTCATCGTTACGCAGGCCAACATAAGAACGCGCTCGGTGTTTGTCGGCCATATTGTTTTTGCTTCGGTAGGCGTGTTTGCAATCTCGCTTTTAATTATCGTCTGTTAATTATTTAATTATTAATGCCACGACGTAATCTCCGGTAGAAAAAATCCAGAGAGATGGCATCCACGTTTGTTGTATTTTTACAGCATAACGGCTGGGATGCGCAGGACGTCTTCTAACGTTTAGTGTTTATAACTATAACGTAAAATACATCATGGGCAAAGTCCATATTATCGATTATACCGACTCGCTGCGGTGCCTCCTCACTATATTACTCACTACATTGAGGAAGCTAGTAGCATTTGGTTTTGCATCTGATGGTGTCGGGCGGATGGCTTATGAAGTTGCAAAAGTAAACAATACAGATCCAACACCGTGGACAGAAAACATAAAAATGGCGATGCAGTGAACACGGTGCAAAGTATGGTCACACGAAAAATGCACGGATAGTGATCGCGCCATCATTGTAACTCATACACTGCGTAAAGCTACCTTAAAATATCTTTTGGTCTTTGTGACTGTAGTGTGGCTAAAGTATGATATCCACATTGGAATTAATTATTTTCAACATAAGAATAAAGACAAATGTCTCTATGATATTTATACAATATATTAGTTATTATGGCTTACATTAGCCAGAATATATAGTTCCAATTTATCCCATGTTCTGTTGTAATTTATTCCAGATACGGGATAAATTGAAACAAATGGCATTCTGAAAAAAAAATTTTCTGAAATTTCTGTTAATAAAATATTAAAACAGATGAGCGATTATTTATTGTGACATCATCACAATGCCTGGCAGTGGCGGCCTTAGGGGGTGGCGAGCAGGGCAATCGCCTGGGGCCTCGCTCTTGGAGGGGCCTCGCACAACAACCAAGTAGAAAAAAGTTGATATTTAAAACTTTTTATTTTATCCTTGGCTATTAGTTATAACAATAAAATAAATTTAATTTATAGTACAGTATATATTAATATTAATAAGTGCCTACTATTTCAATTCACATACTTTGCACAAAGGACAAGGGCCTTGCAAAGATTTGCTGCCCAGAGCCTCGCAATGGATAAGGCCGCCGCTGATGCCTGGCTACAATTTTTAATCATATTTTTAAATTTACCCTGTCCACCTCAAATTAGTAGTGTCTTGCCCTTGTACTGTACATCATAGAGAGTTGACGGCACCACTCTATTGTCAATGTTAACAATAGAGTCATGCCGTAATCCATCTAACTCCTTACAAGAGAAAGTTTTTGAATTGAAATAACGTTACTTCCGGTATGCATTGGAAGTTCATATACAGTTAATCGGAACCTTCTCTCCCTAATCTTTCTATATCTATCTTGGATTTTATTTGTCTAACTCCGTTCACGAGATTAAGGAAAGACAGACAACGGATGACAATGGAAATTTATAGGTATACGATTTTTTCAAATTGCAGCCCGATAATACGTAATGATTCCAACTAATTACCACATTTGATGACCTTTAACATACCAACATTAGCGGTTATTCAATAATAAATCAAACCACGTACTGTTCCAATCTGCCCAACTCCCCTATTGACCGATTGTGGATGAGACTAAGAAATGGGGATTCCCCACGTGGAGATTGGTTTTAAGTCAGAGCAATGGTTAAACAGGTTGGTCGTTAAGTAAAGATTGGCTGTACAATAATAGAAAGCAGGTGACATAACAAATAGTCTCCATTTCTGATCATAAAATTTTTTGCCCTCCAGATTCGGTGGTCTTCGTGGAGAAAATAATCGAAAAAGTGGAAGGCAGTTTGCAAGAATTAATCGTTAAAGTTCCCGGACACGAGAAATCTAGCAAGTAAGTATCCTTATCTTTTCTGTAAATAGAGAGGACTTGTACAGTATTGTACCAAACCGTGTTTTACAGAGAGGAGATGTGGATGCACAACGCCTTAACTCTGTTAAAGGATTCGTTTGAAAAAACTGCCAAAAAATTAAACGATAACATAACTTCTCAATGGGAAATTTTAATCGAAATCAATCGCAAATTCCTGGCATCGGAACTGGACGTCACTTTTCGAAACGTAGTGGAGCGAGCAGAGAACGTACGCGGTACGTATATTTAAGTTTCGTATTCGCGATTTTCGTAACAAATATTTCAAACGGAAAATTTCAGAAGTTTACGAACACTCCAAGTCGCAACTTGACCAAGAATTGGGCAAAGTTGTTTCTTTTATAAAGAACTTGATGCGAAACAGTCAGAAGGGAATCGAAGAGGCAGCCGAGCTTGTAACGAGTGATGGGCACGGACATGAAATTTCGGAAAAAGAGGAAGAGGATGCATCCAAAAAGAAGAAATCGATTATCAGAGAAATTTTGCCTCCTTTTATGCTTAAAATAACGGAGCAGTTGTACGATCGCCAAATCAATTTAACCTTTCCGGTTTCGGATGCTTTGGAGGAGAGAGATTCGGTTTTGGACGACCTGTGCTTTTCTACTGGAATGGCGAGTATATTTCAATCGACTCTTGCCGTTTCTGCTTTCGGTGGCCATTAAACAAAATCTTTAAAACCAACAGATAGCCTCTAAGGTCAAGAGTTTGGAACATGCGGAATATTCTAGCGAAGACTACGAGGACCTGACACGTCGAAATTTGTACATTTTCTGGGCGAATAGCATGCGGTCGGTATACGAAGATAAAAGAAGAAAAAAGTCTGATCAGACGGAAGATCCTGTCGAAAGATTTCGGAAATTTTGGTCGAACGAAGAAGAGCTTGGTAAGTAACATTAAAGAACAGTGTTTCTTGGAAAAATTCTCTTGTCTTTCAAAGAGGACGTTAATTTCCATAAAGTTCAGAGTTTAAATGGGGTCATAAAACTATTTCGATTGGCCATCACGTTGTTTCATTCGTTTCGAATGTAAAACGAAGGAAGATTAATCTCTCTATTTAAGTTATTTATTTTTTTTTTCATTTCAGTGGACACCTTAATTAATCTGTTCCAAGTTTATCCCTGAAGAAGTTTATCCAAAAACCGAGTCTCGCTCGATGTGAATACTGTATTTATTTCGTATCGACTAATTAAATCCCAATCTAAAGTTGTCTGTTTGTTTCTTATACGAACGAGAGAATGATCACGAAAGTCGTTTCCGGTGAATAGATTCTCTTTCCCAATTTAATTTCGTACGAAATACGTAACAGACGAACATTCTGTATCACGAAATCCCTACGAGTCGCATTTCTTTTGCTAGAGAATAAAAAGAATAAATTTTTATGACTGCAAATGCGGAGAGGATCAACAGACTTAAGGTAGCCTATTCTTTGACGTATATATGACTCATAATGACGTGTGCATTTTAAAATATGTCGGTTGAGTGATCGACGAACTGTTCGATATAAACGTATCGATCAAGTTTATATAAAAAATATGAAAATTTGGAATTGTAAACATCCAAACTAGATGACCGATCCGGTAAAAAGTCGACCTAATGCTCTGGGGACCAGGGACCAAATCTGAAAAATTTTCCCGAGCCCAATGTAAATTTAGAGGTTTTTAGTGGTTCCTACGCCTACAAATTAATGTTACTTTTAATAACAAAAATAAAATCTTTAAGACTGCTTTTTATTAATAAACATTTTACGTTTTTAATTTGTTAAAAATAAAGAGGGGGACACGGTCCTCGTGAAGGTCCTGGCGATAAGTCCCAAATATATCGAGCCCTGTCCTTCATTGCCATTGTGGGACCGACCAACCCATGATGGGTATTAAAAAAAACTTTTTTAGGACCTCAGGACATAAAGTGTAAAAAATAAAATCTATTATAGAACAAAAGACTAAAAGAGGGATGCAGATCAATACTCCATTAGCAATTGAGTAAACATACTTCAAAGGATTGGATAGGATTGATCGATTAGGGCAACACAACACAAGGACGATTTGCCGAGAGTGAGTGGCTCCCGGGAGTACTTTCAACGAGAAACTGGTCCCTATTTAAATGTTAAAGGCGTAAAAAACCCCCCAAAAAAACTCCACCATCGGTGAGGCGCGTATCCACTCGGCCATTGGTGGGCTACTCGAGCTAAGAGGATTTTTTTCACACCCATAGTAGATTCGACTGGGCCGAGTGTTGAGGGACGGGGACCAACATATTCAGAACGGATCACTCCGAAAAATTTCTGGTGTTTCCGAAAGGAAAAGTGGAAGCGTATCAACATATGATCGTATTAAGTTAGAGGAAAGAATTAGCTCTTCGTAGTAAGAAAACTAGTGGGAAAAACGAATTAATTGAAAAATAATCTATTTATAAAGTTTAATATACACTTGTATATGACGTATATGATAACAATTTACATAGAGTACATATTTAGCTTATGTCACATACGTTAGTTTATTTTAATAACGCTATCTTTAGATATGTTTGTTTATTTATAGATAGAAGAATAACGATCAAAATGCAGTAACAACTTTAATTGAAACTGAATCATGTATAATAGGACTGAATGTTACAGATAAAATAGATTACCGTGAAGCAATCGAGTTAACTACGTCATTTATATTTTGATAAAGGTAATCGCGTGTATCAGGCAATTATCAATGATAAATAACATTTTATTATGTCAATTAACTTATTTACAATGTAACGTCTAAAGTTAAGATAGCACGAAACAGACAAATATGATCGTTGAGCCCATTCTGACTTTCCTGTGATGTAACTCGTTTTTTTATTTATTTCGAAGGATTTACGGAAGATCGACGACGTAAATGGTCGATTAATAATTTTTAGTAAATGCAAAAGAGGGAAATTTTTCGTATTTGAGGGATTTATTTGCAATATCCCTAAATACAACATTAAATTATTGTTTTATTTTAAAGAGAACTCTCAATTTCTAAATTTACGAGAGATATGTTCATGCTACGACTCATAAGGTCTTATTAAAAAAGAAAAAACAATTTTTATGTACCGGTAATTAATCACAATAAAATTTATTGTGATTAATTACCGGTGCCACAGATGGCGCCACACTCAATTTTATTTATTTATTTAATTAATAAATAAAATTGAGTGTGGCGCCATCTGTTATGAGATTTTGTTATAAAAAAACTTTATATTTTTAATTACTATAAAATGGCGAAAAGCTTAAATTTGAGAGTATGGATGAGTTTTAAAAAAATGTGAATGCTAATAAGAAGTAAAATCTTCATCAAATCTTCAAGTAAAGTCCAACTCCACTGGAGGTAGACACGTGACCACGCTCTATCACCTCACCCCCTCAACCTTTAACTACCAGAATTTTTACAGTATTAACGCCTTTTATACACAAGCGATGTGCCGAATTTCGTGTTTTAATCTTTACCCCATCCGGAGATATTAAACGAAATATATTTCAGTATGGTGTTTCTCTTTGTGTAAGCATTACCCCGCGCATCTAGTCAAACAATTCCATTGCTTTCTTTTCCTTTTAGCTCTATCGTGGAGTCCCATCAGTGACCAAGCGGTTTCATTCCCTCAGTGTTCTTCGGTCGTGGGTTCACGCCTCTCCGGGACGGGCTGGCCACGTGGAGTTTTCTGGGTTTCTCCACGTTTGTATCGCCCGAATAGGGGCCAGTTACCCTTTTAAAAAGACCTCCCGGAAGGCATTCCTGTTAGGCAGATCGCCCAAGTGTTGCTTTTCCGTAACTTAAATTTCCGTTTTCCGTTAAATGTTTTTCCGTTAAATGTTCATTTATTCTTTACATTAATCTTTTATAGTAATTTCTTATTGTTATTCTCTATAAAATGTGTTTTGGTATGTATTTTGGAGTGTCTAGAACGAATTACATTGATTTGTGTGTAAATAATTGCCTGGATTTTCGTCGGTTTCGCATTTCGCCGATTTTTTTCGGACGGATTGTAGACGAAACCCGAGGTATCACTGTATCTACATTCATTCCGGCAACAACCAATTCAAGCTAAACATGGTTCTCGGTTAGCTTTGACTTTTTTCTTTCTGAACTTCCACGATTTTCAAACAGCGACGCAACTGTCAACACATTTCAAAATGGCCGCCGGGCAGCTCACGCGGTTTCTCGTTTTCATCCTCGGACATTACAGCAGCGACAATGTAATCACGTCATCACTCCCAGAGATCTGATTGTTCAACATTTACATTTTACGTCCAGAAAAAAATTTAGTAAACGAAAAATACCCCAAAACCGACGTGGGTTTGGCCCAGGAATATATTACTGTATATGGAACTTCGGGAATCGGTCTTTTACCGCCACTCCGAATTTCTCCTCTTACGTAACGACGTCTCAAAATACGCTCGAATTTCTAAAAATCTGCATTTTTATGTAATAATTTTTATTATTTTTATATGGAAAATAAAAGATTTTTTATTTCGTCCTTTCGACTACAGGAGGCGGGAGTGGCGTCGTAGCGTTACCATGGTGAAGTGTCACCGTCCGTCGACGTTTCGCAGAAAAACTTATTGTGGCATTCGGACACGAAAAGGTTTCTTTGCCTTTATCTTTGTTTTACGGCGCATTTTTAATCGTTCGTCTCGTCCTTTACCTAATTTATCTATTGGAAAACCAACGCGCCACGCGTCCGTCTTTATAACCGAGTCGGTCGAGTCCTACCACTTTGTTAGTAAACGTCTGTCCTGGTCCATCAATAAAACCATCCTGACACATTACCACGGATCAAACTCGGTTGTGACGTTTTCATTTTGATATCGTGGCCTAAGATACCAAAATTTGGCCAAGAGTAGGAATATCAAATTTTAATGTCCAATACCAAGGAATACCAAGTTTTAATGTCGACGTTTTTGCCGTAGTCATTTATTACAAATGAATGAATTCCATCCATTATTCCATCCGTGACTAAATTGAGAATTCTTAATACTAAAAGGCTATACAGATTTTAGCCTTTTACTGTTAATGATGTTTTAAGTTTAATTTTATACAGATTGTGCTTCGCAGCGCCGTCGTTAACTAATAAAATAGTTATAAAAGAAATGTAGTTAACGTTTATATAAATGAAATTAAGTTGTGCGTGACTGTTAAAGGACCGAAATAAAGAAATAGAACACGCGTGTCGTATGTTCCGGTTAAATAATTATCCAAACAAAATAATTATAAAAAGGTTAAATATTGGGGTCGGTCAAAAAATTTGCAGAAAATATCTTTTAAATTGCTACTCTAAGATAGTGTTTTGCCTGTGGCTGAACGTTTCGATATCGTGGAGATCTGCAATCGTTCTACCGGTGACTCTGTCCGGTCTATCGTGCCTTCCTTGACCGATCGTGAAGAGAGTTGCGATTTCGCCCGGCAGATTTGGCAGTGCGGTGTCTCGAAACTCTCCTGTCGGCACTTTGCCGGTGCGCTCCGTTCCGGACTGCTGCGTACGAGCGGTGCCGGTACTTTCGATCTGGGTGCTTCGACCTTTATAACAATGAACGTGAAGGATATCTAAGGGCTGTAGTAATTCTGGAGAAAACTATTTCGATCACTCAAAGGAAGTCTGGGATTCAAGCTATGCAATGATGTGATTTGTCACGATAATAATTTTGGACGCAGAGCCAATGTGACCCATTTGTTTTGGAGTCCTGCAAGGTGGTCCAATTTCCACATCCTGCTTGTTTGCCAGAGCAGGCACCTTGCAATGACTTCCTCTTCCCACAGATGAAGAGAAATTTGAAAGGAAGGAAGTTTGATTCAAAAGAGGAACTGGTGAATGTGATGACGGCAGAGTTTTTGAAGGTAAATTTTTGAGGCTGCTTTTTGGACTGGTTTTCGATAATGAAGAAATGCATTCATTCCTATGGAAAATATTTTGAGAAATAGAGATATCTGTATGATTCTGTGTATAAAAAATGAATGACATCTGACAATCATAACTATTTTCTGTGAATTTTTTGACCACCCACTGTAATAATGCACATAGTTTTTCATTAATCAATATCACACTTTCCTTACTTCTTCCGGCAATACTCTATTAGAAACAAATGTTTTCGGTCTAGCTCACAGGCACGCTTCAGGATCTACACTTCAGAATTCATAAGGAAGGTGTGATTTTGGTTAATGTTAAAATAATAGTACCATTATTTTTTTGTATTATTTAATAATGCTTGATGTTGATTATATATTTTTTTTTATTTCAGAACTATGCTAAGTGGAAAATTCCTGAACACAGATTTTGATAATGATTCATACAGATCACAATAAAAATAATACAACTTTGTCAAATCTGAAAAATGGACATCAGTTTCAGAAATCAATTCTTGGAAATATTAAGTTACTTGATAAAAAGATATTATGGGATTCTGTTTTTCCGGTACCAGATTATTTATTGCCCTGGGCTCCTCTTATTATTTTTACATTGGCACTTGCCTGTTTTATAAACAGTATTTATGGAAATTTTGTATTTGATGACTCTGAAGCAATAGTTAATAATAATGATCTGAAATTAGAGACACCATTAAGCAACATTTTTAAAAATGACTTTTGGGGTACAAAACTTACTCACAATAATAGCCACAAATCATATCGTCCATTAACTGTTCTTACTTTCAGGTAAGCGATTCAATAAAAAGTTTATTTATTTATTTTTTTTATGACTTTTTATTAAAAATAATTCATTATATTGTTATTTTAAATCAATGATTAAATTTTAAGATGAATTATAGTATCTTTTCATTTAGAATACATTTTTTTAAAATGAAAATGTCATGTTTGTTAACTTTTATTATAATGTAATGATAATATAACTTAAAATATAAACATTTGGAATTAACACTATACAGTTTTACATCTCATACAGTGTACAGTATTTCATTTTGATTAAGTATTCTTTCTGTATACAATTTTTAAAAGTTGATTCTATGTATCAAAATTTTTATTTATTTATTTAGTCATTTGACATGTAACTTCTAGCATTTTCAGATTTATGTTGTATTATTTGTGTTTCTAATTCTATCAATACATAAATTGACAATGTTGGATCTGCTTTTACTGAGAAGTTTTTTGCTGTTTGATCCAAGACTTCAACTCAACTGTAATTTTACACTGTGATAAACTATATTTATGAGTATTTTAAGTTTTTTTTTAAATTCATGAGTTGCACTAAGTCTTTCAATATATATTTCCAAAAGTTACATTTTATCATTTCCAAAATTAAAAAAATCTTATTAAAAACATACTAAGAATTTGTATTAATAGCAACCTAAAAGTTAATTTCTAGATTTATAAGATTTATAAAACATATACTGAATAAATTGTCATTTTGATATGGTAGAAAATGTTTGCTTGCCTTTAGATATATTCATTTCTGATAGATAACAAGTAGATTTTTCACCATTTGAGAAAGTAAAGCTAATTTACCAATTTTACTTTCCCAGCTGTTATATATAACAGAGGTATGGTGATTGGTCAAAAAATGACCCCCCGAAGATTTTTACATTTTTGGACTCAGGACCTTGAAATGTCGAGAAATACAAACAAATTTGGGGATAATTTCTGTGTATATGTGTGTTGGGTCCCAATTTTGTTCACCCTCTTTGAAGCTTAATAAATTTCTGCAAAATTAATGCCTAGAAGCATTATTTATTATCCGTATCTCCAGTAGGGTCAGACTTAATGATGATTTTGCTTATTACCATTTACAATTTTTTTTAAAACCCATCCATACCCTCAAAATTAAGCTCTTTGCCATTTTATAATAGTTAAAAATGTAAAAGGTTTAAATAAAATAACAGTTGATGCTACCAAATGTTGCCAGGAAAGTTAGTTAAGCAGCTCATTGCTTAACTTTCCTGGATGTTTTAGTTGGATTTTTGTAATTGATTTAATGTCAAGGTTAATGTCTTTCAAAATCTTCTATTCTGATATATAGTTTTTTTAAAAAAAGAAACTAGACCTCAAAAACTAAACTGTAAGTAATCTACTTTTAACTTCTTCTATATAACTTCTGGAATAAATAGACTAGATTGTCTATTTATTCCAGATCCCTGATGTGATAAGCCCTCCAATTTATTACAACCCTACTTATTAGAATAACTAATTCAATCTAAATTAAAGTCATGGGCAGAAGTGTTATTTATTATTATAACAAAAACATGTTGTTATATTTTTCTTGAACTTTTATATATAACTTTGCCATTGATAACTTTCATCAATAATATTATTAGAAAAATCAAAGAATATGAAAAATGAATTGGTAGCAAAAATATTTATGATAAAATTATTTTTATGGATAATAACAACATGCAAAAGTTATAATAATAATTATAATGTACACAGAACTGATAACTGGTGTGAAATAGAAAAAAACAAACAAAAAACTAATGCAAATGTTTTCAAACCCCTTCCCATTACAGAACATGTTGAAAATAATCGGGCATCTGAAAGTAATACGAACCTGATGTATCTTGGCAATTCTGACATACAGAAGATCTTAAGTACAGGTTAAAGGTAATAGGGACCTGTTTCATGTCTTCACTTTGGTTAGCTGATGGCAAGTCAGCTAACAAACTGAATCCTACAAAGGTTAATCCTGAGTGTGTCTAGTAATAATTTTTAATCAATCTATGTATAATGATACAGTGCTCTATAAATGTTAATTCAGCAGCAAGAGCTTGGGGAGTAGAAGAATATGTAAAAGCTCTCATAACTAATGCCTTGTAAGCTGCAATTTTGTAAGGAAAAGGGACATTGGTATGTACAAGGACATAGAACTCAGTTTATGAAATATTGAGGTACAGATCTCAGACCCTTCCATGCTAATATTTATGTCCAAGAAGTGCACCTCTGATGGGCTAGATTGTTCCACTTCCAGGATCAACCCATAGGGATTATTATTGATTGTATTGACAAAGGCTGTCAAATTTGAAACTGTCCTCCGAAAAATGATGTTATCTATATATTTTGTCAAAATTTTCTTGTTCAGGTCTCATACCATGAGTTCATATAGTTAATTAATTGAAGTATTGTCTTCCTTTTTTTTTAAAATGTCTATAACTTTTAATTTGCTTACATTATTTTGAATTACATTTTTATTTTTTTTTTTTACCCTTGATTATTCTTTATTTAAATGTTTACTGTCCTGGCTATTATATGTAGAGGAAAAGTATGGCAATTGGTCAAAAACTGACTCCCAAGATTTTTGCATTTTTGGACTCAGACTTTGAAATGTATAGAAATGCAAAATAATTTGGGGTTTTTTTCTGTGTATATGGATGTTAGTGTGTATGTGTGTGTGGGGAGCATGATTTTGTTGACCCAATTTGCATCTTAATAACTTCTGTGCCTTTTGTTGAAAATTTATGAAATTTTGGAGGGAGGTTTGTATATTAGGGACATTATTACTATTAAATTTTGGTGGTTAATGGTTGAGGGAATGGAGAGATAGAAGCGGATCATGATATCTTGAGGATTTAATAAAGATTTTACTTATTATACTCATTAGTATTTACAGTTTTTTTACAGAACTCATCTCTACCCTCAAAATGAAACTTCTTGTCATTTTATAATAATTAANAATCAAACTTCTTACACATTTAAAGTTTGTTTCTGTTTATTTACATAATTTCTTGTAAAAACATAAGCTATTAAAAAATTTATAATAATTAATATAGAAAGAGGTCAACATAAAAAGTTAACATATATAGGTAAATTAATGCATTTTACGGCATATAAGATACAAGTTTTATTCAAAACAAAAAAGGCTAAAAAATTTGCCTTGCATCTTATATGTGAAGTTGTAATCTCCCATAGGCCTGATGACTCAAAGAGCTTTCAATAGGCTACTGCAGGTAACCACTACTTAGTCAAATTCTTGAATAAAAATGTTATTGTTCAGTTAAATGTATTATTATTATTTTTTTTATTAATTTTTGCTATAGCTAAGCTAATAATTTTATTAATGTTTGCTATAGCTAAGCCACTTGTATTCAAGTGGAATATTTTAAAAATAAATTCTAATTGTAAATGAATTTTTTAAAACTTCTATTTTCTTGATAAATAAAGTATGTATTCTAATTTTACCTTTTTGCCCAGAATTATAATAAAACAAAATTTTGGTTGCAGTGCATAAATTGCAGGATGGTTTAATTAAATATAAAAATACTTTTAATTTCCTAAATATTCTGTGCTGAATTGAGAGCACATCTTTTGTGGCTATGCATCTTATATGCTGTAAAAAACAGTAATTTTAATTATTAATAAAACATTTGTATCTTAAGTTGTTATCCATGTTTTCTTTTTCTAATTTTAATTTCAGGGTATCTGCAGTGCCTATGATATTATTATTAATTGTAAAATTGACCTTTCATTAATCAGCTTGTTGAATTTATCCACATATAAAGTAAGTATTTTATTTCTTATAGTTAATTATCGTAATTTATTAAAAATGGTCAATTGATAAAGATTTAACCCTGCTATTATTTTGTGAAGACTAGTTTGTTTATTCAACAATTATAAAACATTTCAAATATTAATATTTTGGTAGTGATATTTGCATTTTATACATATTTAGCAAAGTTTATACTAATCAAATAGTATCATTACAATAAATAGTTTAAAAATATAATTAGTTGATTGTGAAGTGGTATTTGTGATTAAATGGTGATACACCTTGGGGCATTCTGTACCAAGTGATCAAGTCTCCCCACCTAACTACCTTCGATTTTGATTAAATTTGATGTGTAGCTTTCTAAACTAACAAAGGAAATTATGAAAACTTTTAGGCCTCGATATGCAATATGTCAGTTGTAGGAGTCCCTTAAGTTAATATAGTTAAAATGCTGTGATAGCAATTCAAAACATTTTTTTATTTTTGGCATGCTGCCATACAGCAACTAAGGTTGATATTTTCTTGAAATACAATTAAACTTCTATATAACAAAGTTGCTAAATCCTGAAAACAATTTGCATTAGGGAAATTGTATTATACAGAAATTACACTTTCTGGTGAATAAAGTATTATTTNGGATTTAATAAAGATTTTACTTATTATACTCATTAGTATTTACAGTTTTTTTACAGAACTCATCTCTACCCTCAAAATGAAACTTCTTGTCATTTTATAATAATTAATAATATAAAAAGTATTTTTAATAAAATATTATAACAGATGGTGCCACATACAATTTTAAAGATTTTTTGCTGGAAATTTTATGCAAATTGTTGCTAGAATTTGTCATTAGTTATTTATTTAATCAATATATATGAAACTGTCATTGTTTATATAAAGAATTGTTATAAAACACAGTGAGGAGGAGGAGGAGAGTAGCAAAGAGCTGCAAAAAAAACTGGAGTTGGAATGTCTGAGATGATCATGGAAGAGCTGCTGGTGTCTATATATATTTTAAAACTGATTTCATAATAATACACTTTATTAAATTTATTTCTGATATATATGTATATACATTTCTTTAAAATTATTTTACAGGATAAATAATTTCCTCTCTGGTGGCTTGCATCCTGTTAGTTTTCATCTAGTAAATGTTGTACTATACGGCATAGTCTGTATACTTACATTTTATGTGATATGTTCAGTTTTTATTGGAATTTTCAAACATCATAATGCACCTAAAGCATCTTTCATATGTGCCTTACTGTTTACAGTCCATCCTGTTCATACTGAAAGTGTAAGTATTAAATATATAAAATTTTACTTTATTATATAATAATATTTAAACATCAATAAAGAACAATCATATTTTAAAAAACTTCATACATACTCATCATTCAGATATATCTCTCTATTTTTCATTGAAAAGTTGCTTACCATACTTAGAATTCTTATGATTCTAGCATGTCGGACAAATATTTATAGAAGCTCACAAAACTTGGCACTATCTATACAAATAAATAAATCAAATTACTGTTAATTTCAGGAAGCCAGTTGTTTTTAGTCAAAATGTGAGAATTTACATCTTAAAATCAAACATTTAATAGTATAGAATGATATTTTAAACCACTTCTGTTAGAATGAAAAATGCTAAATGTGTGCTTTGTAGAGATAAAAGTTTTCCAATGTTGTTTACCAAAATAACCTGAAAAGTTGGGGCTGTGCTTAGTGTCAACAACTCCATCATGCAAAAACACCTAGAAGTTATGAAAAAAAGACTGGAACTATTGGAAAAAAATGTTTGAATGGTAAAAAGGTAATGAAACATGGAATATTAGAATCCTTTTCAGACTGGTTGCATTGCAAGAACTATGAGAATAATTAGAAAAGTATACTCTGTAACAGTGCTGTGGAGTCGGAGACGGGAGAAATTTATGACCAGAGGAGTCAATCGGAAAAAAATGTGTCGACTCTGACTCCCGCATTTTAAATTTACTTTAGCTTTTTTATTTAAATGAAAGAAAATTTATTACGTATTTATTAATTTTTAAAACCTTTTTGTGTTTTGTTATAATTTATTCATTTTAAATAAAAAATGCATCAGTTTAATTTATTAAATGTGTAGTATTTGTGTTTAGTAGTTAAATTGTTTTGACCTGATTGAACTAGAATATTTTTGAATTATTCCTTTATTATCACTGCTCTAAATAAATACTCTATTTTTCTGAATGAGCTAGACTTAATTGATCAGAGTACATATTTTTCTTTTCTGAACAAGGGGCTGAAGTAGCTAGCTAGATTGCACACTTTTCATATGGACTAACTCTTCTGAAAGGGTGAAATTGATTTGCAAATGCTGTAGAATATACGTAGATGTAGAATTTTATTGCCCTCTTTCTCCTCTTATTAAATATTTGTTAAAAATTAATTTTTGTATACAAATAAATACTAATGTAAGTTAAATATTAAGAATAACTATAAAAGTATTTGGGTAAACGGCTTCTTTCAGAGTTCAGAATAGGGTATTCCTTAGCACCTTTGACTTGGTATTTAATTTTGCTGGAGTTGGAGTTGACCCCTAAAATGTTCAAGAGTCGGGTTGAGTGTTTTTTATTGACTTCGCAGCCCTGCTCTGTATATAACATCTTTACTAGAAATAAGATGGACATGAAATTGGGACATTTCATGCAGAAATTATATGATGATACATGGAGGAAATGATACTACTAGACATGAATTTGGTACAGGTTTTGACATTGGAAAATTGTTGTGAAACTCCATTCTGAATTTTAATGTAGTAAATGAAGATATTAGTAACATATGTATCAAAGTCAAATGGGCAAACATATCTTTCGTGAACACCCGTGCACCTATGGAATATAAAGATTCTTTGTGAAGTATACTTTTTATGATGATGTACATACCACAATCCAGAAGGTCCCAAGGAATGATGTATTCATATTGCTAGGAGATTTTAATGCAAAAATTGGGAAAAGAAGAGATTTATAGAGACATAATTGGAAAAGAAAGCCTGCAAGATACTTCAAATGACAATGGAGTCTGATTAATCAATCCACTTAGCAGCAGCCAACAGTTTAATTGTGAGTAGAGTATCAGACTAAAAACAAACCTTGACCTCTCTATATAGAAGTATTGTAAATTGAATTGACCACTTAGAGTATACTCTCAATTATCTGGGCTAATCACCAGTAATAGAGACATGAATAATGTGGAAACACAGATAATTCACAAGACTGTTTTAATGAAAGCTAATTGATGTTTCTTTTATTTAGTTTTTAATTGCACATTAAATTTAACTTAACAGTTTATATATTATGAATAAAATAAGTTTTGAGAGTATTGATTGATTAATTAATTAATAAGCTTTAGATGAAATCAGAGTTGAATGGAACTTTTGACTTAAACAGTAAATTTAGAATTTATTGAACTAGAAACTCACAGTTTACTATCAATTTCTTGTATTATTAACTGGAATGACAAGTTTCCAGCAAGATGATATTGTAAAATGTCATTAATTTTGTGATATTAATGATTCAAAATGTTTTCTTCAAACAATTTTACAATGTAATGAATATGTAATGAATAAAAGAAATAATACAGTGTACACATAAGTAAAGCCATATTGTTCAAGAATCAACCGCACTTACTGTACCTGTAAGGTCATTTAATTTATGTCTTGACATTCTGGAAATAGTTTTGACTCTCAATCTATCATTTTAAATAGCCAGAGTTAACAATATAGATGTTTTTTTTTATTTTAATGCTAATATATGTATTCCTGATGTAAATTTTTATCAAGACGTAAGCATGCATGGATAATTTACAAACGGATAATCTGTACAAGGATAATCAAGAGTATATTGTACTTATAAGTAAGAAATATGGAATCAATATACAAAAAGTAAGAAGTTTTAGAGGTGCAGAATTCAATAGCAATTATTTTTTGGTAGGAGTAACTTTAAAATAAAACTTAATAGAAATTTTCATAGAAAGATGGATGGGCTCTCTTGATATAAATTGCCGTAAAGATGCAGTAATCAAAAAAGAAAAAAAAATGCATTGATGAGCTGCAAGATTTTTTATGGAAATGGAAACAGATAGGACAGAAAATGGAAGTAACACAGCTTTAGACATAAATAACTTATAGCATAATATAGTTAGGGTTAAAAAATACACAGAAAAATGTTTACATAAGAAAAAAGAATGGTCCCAAAAATGATTTGATAATGAATGTAAATTAATTGTAGAGAACAAAAGCTTGACAGATATGGATAAATAACAAAAATAATGTGGAAAATGAACAAAAGTAGAGAGGTCTGCAGGGAAACTTTCAGGTGGATAAGAAAGAAGAAAAGAGTATTTTGAAACAAAATTAGAAATACTGCAGGAAAACTAACAGTAATAACTCAAGGCAGTTTTATAAAGAAATATCTATTTTTAGGAAAGATTACCAGAAAAGAACAGCTATCTTTAAGGATAAGGATGGAAATATATTGGCAGACTATAAGGAAATTTGTCACAGATGGCAAGAATATTTTAAAGATCTTCTCAATTGTGATGAACCAGTAAATATGCTAACATATGAGATAAAAATTTACATGTGAACCATTTATTGCCACACCAACTCCTGCAGAAACAGCAGAGATCATTAATAAGTAAGTCAAAGAATAATAAAACTGCTGGATTTAATGAAATAGCAGCTGAACTGATAAAGGTAAGCAGTCCTGAAATTCCTTAGGCTAATAGTACCAGTATGGAAAAAAGAAGAAATACCTCTTGACTGGAATGAGGTTTTAATAATACCAATCTTTAAAAAAGGTGACATTTGTAACTGTATCAATTATAGAGAAATCTAACTGCTATCAAGTTACAAAGTATTGTCTAACATAGTGCTAAACAGACTAAAATCATATGTTGAAGATATTCTTGGTGATTATCAATTAGGATTTATGAAAAACTATTCAATCATACATCAGATATTAACATTAAGACAGGTTTATGAAAAAAGTTATATATATATGGAAAGGAAATTTTTTATTTGAATATCAATTATAATGAAAAGGTAGATATTACTTTTTGTTGTAATATGATAAAACTAATTGGAAGATTAAGAATATTAATAAAAATACTATTAAAATTATATATAGGAAAAAAACATTGTTAAATGAAGAATTAAAGAACATTAAGCCATAATAAAATATGTTGATAATATTCATTTAAGCAGGTATCACAACTGATGCATGCTGAGATAAGATTGTCCGAACATAAAAGGAATCTTTATGTGATTAAAATTGTAAAACAGAAGTTCCTTAGAGTAGACTGTTGCTTTATATCTTCTTTTGGTGTAATAATCCAGAGAAGAAGCTTTGGCACAGTGACCAAGTCAAAATGCATTTAGAGATAATATCTAACTTTTTGTTGTAATTGATGTTTAAATAGAAAACTTTCCTATTAGCATTGGTGTTATAAGTTCTGACAGCACTTCTAAAATTTTGGAAGGAGAATGCTGTCTTGTAAAAATTAAATTTAAAAAAAATTTTAATAACATTAATGTTTTTTTATTCTTAGAAATTAATCTAATAGGTGAATTGATGATTAAAACCTTTTTTTTTAATAACGTATTTTTGTGGATTGTCCGATATGTCAGACTATCTGGGAGAGACCATAAAATCAGATATTTCCATATGGTAACTGGCATGCTGGTTTATTCTGGAAAAATGCCAGAATGCCAGTTTAAGTGAGGTTATACACCCCTGTCTAAAGGGTGCATAAAACAAAAGAGTTTTGTTCTAAAACTATGAAACTGTCAGCATTACATCAAAAACTACAATTATACAATTAATTTCTGCATTTTGTCTTCTTTCTAATGATGTAAAATACTTGTGGAATGCTGAAAGTGTTTTTTTTATGTTTATTTTATTGTAACTTGATCCAAAAACTCAAAAATAAACATATCAAATTTCAGAAACTCAATGTAAATTATCTCAGTTTACGCTGATTAACATGTGCTTTGTGTGAAATTTGTGAGGAAGATGTTATTTTTAAGATGGATGGTCAGTGGAGCTAGCACTGACTTACTACTAATACAACTAATGTCAATAAGCTGCTAATTGTTATTGCACTGTAAACAAAAACTCTTTCTGATTTTATATTACTCAAGTTACAACATTATTTTATTGTACTTGGAAGAATTTTTTTAAACATCTCTTTAACAATTAGTTTTGTTAGATCTGATTAATTTTATATTTTAGTCACAGTTTTCAATGGCATGCCGTAACCCTGGTGTTTCCAGCATGCTGGTTTCTGCCCCGGTTATATGCATTATGCTGGTCAATCCATGAAAATATGATAAAATTAATTATGTAAACTTAAGCATTATATATTTTGTTTATTTCATCTTTATGTAAGTATAATATAAGATATGCATAAGAAAGTAGTATAAGACTTCCTGAAATAACTAGTGATTTCATTTATTTATTTGTACAAATTTTGCATGTTGTCAAATGTGATAAACTCATCTCAAGTAATAACTAAATAGTTGTCATACCTAATACTGTATTGTGTGTTTAATGTGATATTCATAACCACCATAATCTTTACAATAATCAATTTCTCAAATGTTATTTTTAAATATTGTAATTTTCTATTGACTATTTTTCATTAATTCAAAACCAATGTGTGATTATATATATATATATATGATAATATATTGTCACACGTCAGTCTCAGACTTTTGCATAATAAACATTGTACCAATTCAACAAGTCTAATATTGCACTTCAGCAAACCAGAAGCAATGCCATTATTTCTCTTTCACTTTGAATTTCAATTAAAATATAAATATTGACATGTTTAGTCACATCACATTATTTATGGAACTAAATTTTGAATTAACAATGAAATATTACTCCTTATCCAGGGTAATAAGTTAATTTCATTTAGTTTCATAAATAATGTGATGCAATTATACATGTCAATTTTTATATTTTAATTATATTTCTTCTATTTAAATTTTGATTGTATTTGATCGATTTGAAAAGTGTTCTGTAAAGTTTTCATTCTAAATGATCTGAATATGTTCATTTTATATAAATTAAAACATTAGTAATAGTAAAGTTTAGTATTATTTCATAACTGATGTTGATGTGTTTGTTTCTGTTCCTCCTCTTTGACAGCCCTGCATGTGCTATAAATAGCAGCCTGAATGCACCATATAGAGGTCCTGCTAGCTATGAATTATCATGCTAGTTTGATTCAGATTATTTATTTTTAATTACAAAAATTCGTTTGACTTTTCTATATTTGTATTAACAGTAATTAGAACTAATATTAAACATTAACTCTTTAAGCTCTGAAAACTCACTCCATCTCTGTCGCTAATGACTAAATTGTTTTTAACCCTTAGGCTACGAGGAAAGCTTGTATAGCAAAACTAGACTAACAACTTTTCAATCAGCCAATTTCATTTTTTAATGGATAAGGTCAATTTTGGCTGATTTTGTGTTTAAAGAGTTAATTAATTTTAGTATCAGAGTCTGTGTGTAACAGAATACTATACTAAATGTGTAGTTCTGGATGTAATCTTGTATATGACAGTCATAAAGAAGTATTAGTAACAAGCAGTTTTTTAATTAGAATTTGGAACCTTTCATTTGTTATATGTTGAGTGCATTAGTATTTTTAGAAATACTTCAGTAAGAATTTTTCTGGAAACCTAGTAAGAAGAATTGATTTCTGATTTATTAGAAATCACTCACTTAATGATATAATATATAAGTGTCAATAGTATATGTTTTGTTAGTTTTATGATTATATTTTTTTTTTATAAAACTTGAATTTAAATAGTCAGGAAAAACAGTAATCTTGGATAGAGTCCAAATCTCTTAATGGTCGTTTAATGTGAGCATGTTACAACTTATGAAGTTAATTTAATAAAAACTATTTCATTTTATTTGAAATTTTTAAAGAAAATTTGGAATTTGTATAATTAAGTATCATTTTAGGATAATTAAATCTAAATATTTAATATATTTGAAAATCATGTTGAATTTTTCTTGCTTTTTTCTTTTTTAGGTATCTGCAGTTGTAGGAAGAGCTGATTTATTATGTGCTTTATTTTTTTTCCTGTCATTTTTAGCATATGTAAAAGGTTGTAAGAAAGGTAAATAATTATTTAAATTATACAAAATGATAAATAATAGAAACAATTAGAAATATTTTTTACTAAAAGTAAAATAATTTATAATTTTTATGTGCATACAGTTTTTTAGAATCTAATCTACATAGTATTAGATTGTTGCAAATGATTTTCACTTCTGACTTTGAATGTGTATTAATTTAATTTAAAACTTACATATTCAATCAAAATTGTTTCTACTAATATTAATACACTTTTCCCAATGCAATTGAAACGCATTAATGCCAATTTGATAAAAATCACATGAATGAGAAGCCAAATAGTCATTAAAGGTTTTTTTTATTGCATCCTCTTCCTTGAAGACTTTCCTTGCCAAAAAACTGTCCAAATGTATAATAAAAAGTGATAGTCTGTTGGCAAAAGGTGTGGAGAATAAGGTGCTTGGAGAAGAATTTCATTTGAGTACTTTCATTTTTGTCACAAATAATTAAAGAACTGCAGACTTCCAAATGATTATCCTTATCTCTCTCACTGGTACACATTTGTTGAGCTTCTTGACTTTCCCTAACATGTTTAGATATTGAGAAATTGTTGAGTAATGTCCAGTATTTTAACCTTTCCATGATTTCCCAGACAGTCAGATGATGATCTGATTTGATGATGATCTTCAATTCTGATTTTTGAGATTTGTATTCTTGGAATGAAATTTTCGGAAGCAGTGCCTGATTAAACATGTGGAACTCGCAATGTAAATGAGATCATTTTTTAAATTTACATATTATATGTATACTTTTCCAATTGTAAACATACAGCACTGTTCACATGGAGAAATGTTGAACTACAAGGCTGGAAAGTTTAAGTTTTAAAAAATGGCCATTGCATTTGCAATGACCCAGCAATTATAAAAAAAGTAGCTATATTTTGATGTCTTCCTTAAAAATGATAAGAATATGAGCAATGTTCATAGTCTATCTCTTTGTATAACACATTGACTTATTTTTTAAGTTAAACTAAAAAAAATCACACCACAAACACCAATAAGCAGCAAAAACAACAAAAATTTACTGTAAACTAATATTTTCTTCTGTTTACAATGGATATTGTCAGCTTTAACTGAAAGAATACAGAATGGAACAAGTAAATTTCAGAATAGAATGTTTTAAATCATCAAAGTTCAAGCCTGTGGAGACTTGCACATGTTGGATACAAATATAGACATCTGAAAGCCCAATATTTTTGTAATAAACCAAATGATTGCCAATTAATTGGGCTAATTTACCACTACTATTAATAATTAAATACTGAGTAATTTGGTATTAGAGGTAGACATTGGTAGATATGACGTCCTGGTAGTGTAACTGGCAATGTATACCTCAGGGTCAATTCTTTTCTTCCAGAATATTCTAATTTATTTAATAAATATTAATTTAATTATAATTATTATATTTAATAAGAAATGGTATCTAACACCTACTTCTAGTACCAAAGTACTCAGTATTTAATTAATAATAGTACTGGTAAAATAGCCCAATTAATCTGGCAATCATTTGGTTTGTCAGATTAAAATACCATTGAAGGGAATTAGGCAAGCTCAAATAGTGCTCTTCAAGTTAACAAAATTGAGTCTGTTTCTTTAAAGTTAATTGCTGTCCATCCCTTGAATACTTTGTTGTCACTCAGGTACACTTTCTGGATATTCACTACATCAAAGGCAATTGCTAACAAAGGTATTTTGTAAGAACTCTTACAGCCCAATTTTTATTCCTCTTATCACACAATCTAATCACATACAAAGTGACTGCATTTAGGACTTTAGTTAAGTCTACATGCATTGTTCATGCACAAGAGATAGGAAGGAGCAGCTAGATTTCATCATGTGGTTAGCCAAATAGCACAACTATTCTACAGACTTTACAGAAAATTCACACAACTAATTAAAACTAATAAAAATGATGTGTTTATTGATAGTATTTTTTGAAATATTCTTATACACAAACAATTGTATATCTTGGCACAGTGGACAATAATAATGTTTTATGCTTTTATTTTATACTCGCATACCCCGTCATGACCTCACCTGCTCTTAATACATATAGAACTTTGAAAATTTGAACTAATTCTTCATTAATTAATTTTGGGCGATCACTGTCTAGTATTGCAGTAGAGTATTGCAAAATATAAAAAAGTAAAATCATAAAACTTCTGAATAAGTTATATTTTGAGTTTTGTCACCTGTTGGTATCAAAATTATTTCATTGTTAGGATTTCCAGTTCTGGAAAGCCCTACATACAATTGGCCATAGGAGAAACTCTCTGTATGAAGATCCACTCCAACGTGTTGGAAAGTTTGGCCTTGCTATTTGTTAATTGTAATAGCAAAAAAAGTTTAATTGGAAATTGTAAACATTTAAATTGAAATGGTAGATAGGTAGGAATCATTGGGGTTCTAGGAATAAATGCAATTTCCCCAGTTGCTGGGGAAATTGCATTTATTCCTAGAACCCCATTATTCCAGTTGCTGGTCCAGTGAGAATTATAGTTTCAATGATATTGTCATGCATAGCTATAATTTGTAACCTGGTACCATTACAGAGATTGGGAGGTTGAACATTACGTAACAACATAATTGAAAAACCAAGTTTTTATTTTAATTTATGTGGTGGGAATCCAGATGGGCTGAGACCATTAATTAAGAAACTCTTGTGGATAATGGACTGCATCATCAGTGCTTAAAACTGTATCAGTCGATAGATAATCTCTGCTGTTACTATTGACTTTTTCAAGAATAATGTTATTTATTTCTTCTATTATATTTCTAGGTGAAATTATTGTCCTTTCACACAACCAAAGATACAGTTGATTCAATAAATCTGAAATATCAGGATCAATTTCTTATTATAATTAATATTTACTAAATAATTTAGAATATCCTGGATGAAAATTTATTTTAATTATAATTGTTAATTTTAATAAGAGATGGTACCTAACTCCTGCCTCTAGTACCAAATTACTTAGTTTTTAGTAGTGATTAAGTAGCTGAATTTAAATCTGGTAATTGTTTGGTTTCATTATAAAATATTGGGCATTGAGATGTTTGTGCGTATAGTCAATCTCTTGTTCTAACTGAAGGGTGAGGCCATTGGATTATTATTAATTGCTCCCAAGAATAAACCAATGTCAGGTTTCCAGTTCAATATTACTTCAATGTATCTTGAGTACAATATAATATGTCATGGAAATTCAGGAAATATTACCTGTTCTAAGTTTCTCAAAAGTAATTTACATAACATTCCAATCTGAAACTGTACTCCCATCCACTGTTTTGAATATATGTCTTGTTGATGAAAGAAAAACATGATATTAATGTGTCATTAAACCTGTATATTGCTGGAATTTTAAGGTGTTGATGCACTTTAAGGAGTTAATTAATTTTATTTTTGAAAAGTTTTGAGAATATAAATTTATAATATGTTTTAAATGAAAATCAAATTTGATTGTTTGAATTTTGTTCTAACTGAAAGTATATTAACTGTAGTCAAAGACAAAAGTATTCTTTATAACAATTTTTTGTTCTTTATATATTATATTGTCATTATGTAATTTCTTTGAAAAAATCTATTATAAGAAAGTTATGCATTATTCTGATAGAAAACTAATTTAGTCAAATACCTGCATATTCTATGATTATAATTCAAGTTATACTGATAAAATGGTTACAGATTCTTGATTAATAATTACATTTGTAAAAATAAATTTAACTTATATTATTATTTAATTAATAATAGTTTTTCTTATAATAATAGCTATAGAGGTGAACATTGCATCTTCTTTTACTTGGATAGGAATTTGTTTAATATTGGCAGGAATTTCAATGCTTTGTAAAGAACAAGGTATTACAGTCATTGTAAGTATTATTCAATTCAATGATATTCACTTTAACAGATATATATATATATATAGGTAGAGTAGTAAACTAGTTTTAAGTTATAATGATGATTTTTATTAAGTTGCTTATTCAGTAGTATAAGTATACTGTTTTTAGAACAGAAATAAATAGAATAGGTTGAAGAACATTTGTGCATGTTTATTAAATGTTTTCTCAGCAAAGATAAGGTGTTGAAATGTTAAATGAATAGAAGTTTTGAAGTGTGGTAAATTTTGATTTATGTTAATTAATGATATTTAGTTTTATTAATTAATTGTTATTTTATTATCATGCATTAAATTATCTATTATGATGGGGCATTTCTATTTAAAATTATTTACATTTAATTTATTAATTCCATATTACATAATATGTTCACTTATGTATTAGTTCATAGTTTGATAATTAACAGTAAACACAAAATGTTATCATCAAATAGTTATGCTACTTGTAGTTGTTTGATCATTAAATATTAGTATCCTATACTTAAAATAACTATAACAGTATTAACAGTATGTCTTGTATTAAATGTTGGCATTGTCTTTGCATAAAACACAAAGACAACTTTTTGTCAAACTTTATATTCCATAGAAATACCTTGTAGCTGGTATTGTAATTTCCTGCTTATAATTTGCAGATAATGTGTTAAAAACCTTCTGACTGATGGTTTGACCATTGCATATAATTTGTGACACTTTTTCCAAAACAATGGTCTTAAAGTAATTAATTATTATTAAATTAAAAAGTCATCTTGATATTACAGAATATGATAAGGTGTCTTGTTTACATGTTGGTGGACACAAAAGTCAAAGTGCAGTAACATATTCATTTCTACTTGTGAATAGAATATAGTGTTAATTCTTTTGCCTCTATGTCGTTACTGTATTAAATTCTTTATTATATCATTGTCTAAGTTGGACTTTGTATATTAATAGAACTTATTATACTGGTATTGTTTCCATTTTAGCAAACAGAGGAAATCTTATTCAGAAAAACAAAATATCTTTATTTTTCTCCTGGTGAAAAATAGATATTTTGCAGTCATACATCATTTTATTTTATTTTTTACTGTTATGCTGTCTGTCATGACCCTTCATCATTATTCACAAGTAAATAATGCTTTAATTTTTATATTGCGTGCTTTAAATTAATACATCAATTTAATTTTATAAGAATTTATGAATTTGATATAATATTGTAACAAAATTTTTATTGAATATTTTTCAAATTTATTTATATAGCAATACTATTGTTCAAAAGTTGGTTTTAAAATATTGATGAGAAATTTAAACAGCATTTTTTCACAAATGTTTTTAGGATGTTTTTTCTTTGTTTTTTAAGAAACATTAAAAATACTTTCATGTGCTTATTTAATCTTTTAGTATTTAATCAAACTTCTTACACATTTAAAGTTTGTTTCTGTTTATTTACATAATTTCTTGTAAAAACATAAGCTATTAAAAAATTTATAATAATTAATATAGAAAGAGGTCAACATAAAAAGTTAACATATATAGGTAAATTAATGCATTTTACGGCATATAAGATACAAGTTTTATTCAAAACAAAAAAGGCTAAAAAATTTGCCTTGCATCTTATATGTGAAGTTGTAATCTCCCATAGGCCTGATGACTCAAAGAGCTTTCAATAGGCTACTGCAGGTAACCACTACTTAGTCAAATTCTTGAATAAAAATGTTATTGTTCAGTTAAATGTATTATTATTATTTTTTTTATTAATTTTTGCTATAGCTAAGCTAATAATTTTATTAATGTTTGCTATAGCTAAGCCACTTGTATTCAAGTGGAATATTTTAAAAATAAATTCTAATTGTAAATGAATTTTTTAAAACTCCTATTTTCTTGATAAATAAAGTATGTATTCTAATTTTACCTTTTTGCCCAGAATTATAATAAAACAAAATTTTGGTTGCAGTGCATAAATTGCAGGATGGTTTAATTAAATATAAAAATACTTTTAATTTCCTAAATATTCTGTGCTGAATTGAGAGCACATCTTTTGTGGCTATGCATCTTATATGCTGTAAAAAACAGTAATTTTAATTATTAATAAAACATTTGTATCTTAAGTTGTTATCCATGTTTTCTTTTTCTAATTTTAATTTCAGGGTATCTGCAGTGCCTATGATATTATTATTAATTGTAAAATTGACCTTTCATTAATCAGCTTGTTGAATTTATCCACATATAAAGTAAGTATTTTATTTCTTATAGTTAATTATCGTAATTTATTAAAAATGGTCAATTGATAAAGATTTAACCCTGCTATTATTTTGTGAAGACTAGTTTGTTTATTCAACAATTATAAAACATTTCAAATATTAATATTTTGGTAGTGATATTTGCATTTTATACATATTTAGCAAAGTTTATACTAATCAAATAGTATCATTACAATAAATAGTTTAAAAATATAATTAGTTGATTGTGAAGTGGTATTTGTGATTAAATGGTGATACACCTTGGGGCATTCTGTACCAAGTGATCAAGTCTCCCCACCTAACTACCTTCGATTTTGATTAAATTTGATGTGTAGCTTTCTAAACTAACAAAGGAAATTATGAAAACTTTTAGGCCTCGATATGCAATATGTCAGTTGTAGGAGTCCCTTAAGTTAATATAGTTAAAATGCTGTGATAGCAATTCAAAACATTTTTTTATTTTTGGCATGCTGCCATACAGCAACTAAGGTTGATATTTTCTTGAATTACAATTAAACTTCTATATAACAAAGTTGCTAAATCCTGAAAACAATTTGCATTAGGGAAATTGTATTATACAGAAATTACACTTTCTGGTGAATAAAGTATTATTTTAACATAATTTAAATTAATATAAACATAATATACAGTAATAATGTACTATAAATGTAATTTTAAAATTAAAATTATTTTAATTAAGTATATATTTGTGTGTTAAAGTACAAGTTAGTTTAACTACATTTTTGTAAAAGTTTGTAATTTTTTGTTGCACAGAACAATTACAAAATGTTCTCTCTTCATAATATGTTTGACACTTATTAAGAGCAGTAAAACTACTTTATCTAAATCAGCGTACACACAGGTTCTAGCATGTTTTGCTATGGGTCTTGCATCATAAACTAATTTCAAAATTCATTCATGATTTGTTGTTTTGGTTGATAAACTACTCACAGAAATTCCAAACTTTGCTGTGATGACATTCTTTTTTGAGCCTTTATCAACTTCCCACAACACATTAATTTTTTTAGTAATATTTTGCTTTGACATTTTTCTACTACAGTATAGAACTATCCACTCTCAAACCTGAAGTTACAATAAAATTGTAAAGTTGCATTTCACTTTTTAATATTTCTGAGAACTCTGATAGACAAAATTTAGGAAAGTTCTTTCAAACTTAACATACCATTCAATACTGTAAAAATGATTTGTGTATCACTCATCTCAGCCACCTGCACAAGAAAGACTGCTTTTTCAGTTAAATACTGTACACAATAAAAACATCACTGATATCCATATTCACTGTACAGGCTGCCATGATTTTATGACATGGATGTGTTTCCAGAGTAAGCAACATAAATGAAATTGATGCAAAATTAATCCATCATACTGTTCAGGATAGTACACTGTTATAAAGTGAATAGAGATGCTTTTGAAATTGCCCAAAAATTTATACAGTAAAGTAATTTTTCAATAAAAACATGTTAACTATAAGTTACAGTATTACTAAGAAATACTGTATAATATGGTATTAAATTTATTTATTTTACTACATTAATACTGTAACTCTAAAACATTTGTTAATTGTAAATTGTTTAGGTCCAAATGCATTGACAGATAATTTCTTTCTCCCTTCTTTACAACTGGGAGCCACATGGAGGCAGATTACAAGATGGTGTTGAAAGCTAATGACCAGTATTTGTTACACCTGGGCTGTGGTTTTACAAAGGGTTTACAGAGTCGTACTTGAAATTGAACCTAAATTTGAATTCAACCGAGATAGAGTTACCGACTTTTAATGATTGATAGTCCTTACAAATTTTTAAAAAGTTGTTATGTGGAAATTTAACTTCATTATTTAGAAGCAATTTTACATATTGTTTGGCTGAATGAGCAGTGTACAATGCAAAAATTCATTATACAGAGAAATTTGCTATATACAAATGTAATATGGAAATTTGACTGTATATGTTTTTTACTGGTTATCGGCATTTAGTTGTGTTATTAAGTACATTACACCTGATATAGTAGTAATGGCTATATTTTGTTGGAAATTGCTGCAGCAGTTTACTGTTTTCATAGTGTAAACTGTATAAATTTGAAGGGTCAAACTTGATTATTCTTCTTACCAGGTACAGTCAGTTGAATAAATTTGCTACAACAAAAAGAGTCAAATTTTTGACAGCTATATTTTCTAAACACTAAACCTTTTCAGATTCCAGCAAAATATGTAAAATGTAGCAATTCACATTCACCTGATTGCAGCTTCAGGTTTACAGAGTTTGTTTTGAATTGGAATGCATTGAATAGAATGCATTTGTAGAATTCAAATTTGAACAGGCCTGAATAAGGTGTGCTGAGCCATACTATGTCAACCAGGTTATAAAGATGTATTGTATCATGCCTGCCATGCTTGGATAACTGTGTCCTCTCCCAAGAGTTGATATAATTGGAGTTATGGCTAGCTTTAAATATTTTAATGGACTCTGATGTGGTCCCAGTTTGTGGAGGATCTGATGAGCTGTGTCTCATATAATTTAACCTCTATATGGTCTTTCAAGATAATGATTTTCATGATTTGCTGGAAGCTGAAGAGGTTTAATGATCTGAAGATATTATTAATACATTTTATATTTTCTGAACAAATTATCTCAGGAATAGTCTCACAGGAAAAGATATTCTCCTGTGAGATTATTGACTAGATGGTTGTTAATAAATCCTGTAAATTTTATTTTTAATTTCAAGATCAACATGCTTCCAGAAAATTTGATACTTACTTTTGCTCATTTTTGAATCCTATTATCTCAAAAATGATATGTCCAATTTTTTTTGCTTTGACCATCATTTGAAAGAGCCCGCTTTTCTCTACAAGAATATTATATTTGTTTTACTCTCCTGGAGAATAAGGTGCTGACAGCTGGTTAAGCTGAAAAATTTGAACTAAGTGCCATTTAAGAACTCAAATTTTTATATGTATCTTAGTGTTTTAAAGGCAAAGGCCATACTATTATACTTTTCAGAATACTAAATGTATAACACCATAATGGGAAAAGCTGACAAAAGAGGGACAAAGACCCGAAATGCATCTTGGCAAATGGAAAAAGAGAATTAAACAGATGTATAGAAAGCCTTGTGTCATTTATATTACATTTAATTGTGAGAAATAATCAAATAAGAAGATTGGCATGGCTTCACATAAATAAGAATTAAAATTATGTTGTTACTGTGTTGTGTAATGCACAAATTTTGTTGTTTATTGTTATTTATAATCATTGTTTGTTTTAATTTTTTGAGTTATGTTTTTTATATAACTTCGTATATTTGCATGTCTAATTATTTTTATTTATTTGTTTACTTCAGTTTTAATTCGATGCATTAGATTATTCAATCTGTTTTAAAAAAAGTCAGTTTAAATGCCAGAACATTTGAAGTTTGAAACATTCAGTAAACCATTCAGTTTGAATGTTTAGAACCTGAAGCAGGCTCATAAACTAGGCTGTAAATTTAATAAATATAAAAATCTTATGAATATACAAAGAAAAACTTTGCTTGCTTCTGTTTCTTATCCATTGTTTTAACACACTAGTGACAGTCCACAAAGAATACACACACAAAGACAACTTAGGCAGAAAATGTTTGTTTGAATAAAGTATTGCTGAAAGACATAAGGAAGATGTGAAATTAAATATTTAAGGAATTTAGGTTTTCTTAAATAGCTGTGTTTTCTTCTTGAAACATAATTATTTTCTATTATATTTCTATAAATATTCTGCTCTCTAGTGCAATAGCTTATTTTTCAACCCTATTTTAGAAACTAACTATGCATTATTTACGTTTAATTGCTATATAAATGGTCATCTTTGGCACTTCAAATATGCTCATTTAAAGGCAAGATGTGTTGGCTGGTAACAGATTGTTAACTATAAGTTAACTTATATTTGGCTATCAGCATGTTAGAAATCAATGTTTTCATTATTCTATTTGTGATAAACTTTTGAATAAATTTAAATTAGTTTTTTATGTCAGGAAATTGACTGAGATATATAACAATCAATTTTTTAAGCTTAAATTTGCAAAAAATAAATTAATAATTGTAAGTCTTATATTAATAAATATTTTGTGAATTATATTGAAATTTAATATATAATAATTTATGTAGCAATTTTTACAGTAATGATTTTTAATAATTTTTTTTTATTTATTGGTTATAGAATCAAAAATGGTTATCTCAATTCCTTGGACGACAAATTTTTCTTACAGTTGGTGGAATGATTTTATTATTTGGGAGATGGCAAATAATGGGAGCCCGTGCACCCGTTTTTCAGCATGTTGACAATCCTGCATCTTTTGAAGAAAATTTAATTCTTAGGGTAATATTTATATTTAAATGTATAATAGAAAAGATATTTAACACAAATGCAGTTTTAACATAAATGTCCAAAAGTGTTTTAAGGTAAGTCGTCCCTTGATAGTACGACGTTTTGTAATCCAACATGCTCAGTAGTCCGACGCACTTCCCATCAAGGTCACTGTAGTCCCCGTCCCCGTTACGTGTCTGCTTGCACAGAAGCATGTCACGTCATGAATTTCCCCATCCAATTCTTACACGATGACACACATTTTGTGTCTTTTCCATGAGCAATTCTGTTCGAACAGTTGGAGTAGGGTTTTTGTGTGTGTTTTGTGTGTAGGGTTTTAGTGCCAAAATTTTATTTAATTAATTTGGAAAGTTCAGTTCAATGGCGAGCACAAGTTCAAAATGAAAGCATAAAACGCTGACCCTTAATTAATTAACCACTTTAATCTCTCATATTTAATTGACCTTCAGGAGGAGCTTTCAAAACAAACGATGGTTGCGTTTGAACAGAACAAAAAATTTAAAATATTTTAGAATAAATAATTTAAAAGTTAGTACTGGAACTTATATTGTAAAAGTTATGAAAATCTCTGAAGGTTCAGTACTATCTTTTACATTGTTTATTCTTGAATGCTTTAAATTTTTTGTTCTGTTTGAACACAACCATCATTCATTTTGTATGTTCCTCCTGAACGGAAATGTTAGAGATTAAAGCAATTAATGCAATTTTTAAGGTCTTTTTTTGAAGTGCTTTACTATAGTTATATATTATTCCTGAGTAACTGTTTTGATTTATATAAAAAGAGCATGTAGAAACAGCAAAACAACAGTAGAATTGATTTGTTCAAAATCAGTAATAATTAAGGCAAACTCCAGCAGCTTAATTCAGTTTTACTAAGCAATGCACCCAAAAATTTGTAATAAGTTTCTTCAAAATTTTACATGTGAATAATATGATTTAAACATTTGAGATTTTTGTGTATACTCCACGCAGGATAAAGAGCAAAGACGGGGTTGCTATTGAGAAAGGATGCATATGCAGTAAAATATACATTACTTTTCACTGTACTGGGCTAAAGTGATATCTGGCCAAGTGCCATAGTGGGTGATTATAGGCCGTTGGCGTAGGAGTCGTCCCTAGTTGGCTCTGTGAGTAACCATGGATGGCTATGTATGATTAATATGTCTGGAAGTGAAGGGTTGGATGGAGGTAGCTGGCAATGCATCCATACAGTAAGTAGGAGTTGTGGGTTCAAGTCCTGCTCTGGACTGATTGTTTTCTTCCAGAATATTGCAAAATATAATAATGATGATGTAAATTGTCATGAAATTTTTTTACATAGCATTTGTCATAAACATTATTTTGTCATTATTGTACATGACACATTGATACAGTTCAAAGCTGTCGATAATACTTGCCATTTACAGTGAGAGCAACAAGACATTTTATGTTGACAATTAAAAATATTTGAAAATGGCAACTGACAATACAAATGTGCTACTGCCTTTTATAGATACTTCTTGTTCTAAAAGAAGTCATAAATTCAAATGAAGCAAGTTGTCCTAAATGTATATTCATGCAGTAGAAAAGCTAATTTAACCTTAAGCATAGAAGAAGTCACAAGCCTGACTGATGTGTTATCTTTACTATCTTTGCATAGAAGAAACATCAGTTTCTTGTTAGAGTATCCAAATTGTACAATTAAAACAACAAAAATCCTTACAAATTAAATTAATCAATTAATAACAAAAACACTAAGGAAAAAGATAACAACTTTGGATAATCAGTTCTGCCAGACTAGTCTGCTTTACAAAAACAAAAGTAGCTTTACAAGAATCAGCTGCTTTTGTGATGGAATGATACACACACAAGTAATGTGTTGTTTTTTATCCTACAGACATTATAGTATTTTCAAAGGCAATCTGAATGGTTAAATAATTAGAATGGTAAACTTTCAGAATAAATAGTAACTTTACAGGTTTATTAGTTTTTTAGAATATTATTTTTTATCTTTTAATTATTTTTTTGAAAATATGTATGCATGTATACATAAAAAAATTCTTATCTCACTGGAACTGGACAATGTATTAATATAGAATACACACCATAGCCTCAGATAAGTTCAGTAACTCTTGAATTTTGAATGTTTTAAATTTTGTCTTCTTTTTCAAACATTCCCTTTTAGAATGACTTTTCTGACAAAGATTTTGGGGATAGACTAAAAATGTTCTTTGAGATTTGAAGTTATGTTGCTGGACTTATCTGAGTCTGTGGTGTATATTTTTATGTTATATATATAAATATATGTATATATATATATATGTTTGAAAAGAAAAATGAAGAAAAGACTGGCATGTGTGTTATCAAGAAAATACTTATAAATAATAAACATTAATAAGTTACTGTATTAATAATAATAATATATTTTTAGGTTATAAATTATAATTATATTTACACGTTGAATATATGGATACTTTTGCATCCTTTATGGCTTTGTTTTGACTGGTCGATGGGATGTGTACCATTAATACGATCTGCATCCGATTTTCGCCTCATCGTTGTAATAATATTTTGGGCCGTGTTTGGCTTATTTTTCTACTTTGGAGTTTTATCGGGAGATCGAAAAATAAGAAGGTAAGTAATTGAAAAGCTTAAATTACAACCAAAATGATATGATAAATTATATTTTCACTTTATATTTTGATTAATATTTGTTTATGGATACAATTTCTGTAATTACTCAGGATTTTTATATTTCTTCTTAAATGAAGTTAAGACTATTTACAAAAATATAAAATTTTTGAGTCTATCTTAATCCTTTTTTACACCACCCCAGAAGTAACAGTCAACATGGGTTTTTTTCTTTTTGAAGAATATACTTCTTAAAAACAAAGGTAAATAAACAGTAAAAAACAATTCACAATGTTAAAAACGATCAAGTGTCAGCCTTCTGTTTTAGGATCTGACACTTTACATTAAAAACATGAAGAATTCTTCTCACCACATTGTCCTTATCCATTTTTAACTGCTTCAGGCCCTCTGGTGGTAGTTACGAGTTATCCTTACTTAATTTGCATATGGATACAATTTCTGTAATTACTCAGGATTTTTATATTTCTTCTTAAATGAAGTTAAGACTATTTACAAAAATATAAAATTTTTGAGTCTATCTTAATCCTTTTTTACACCACCCCAGAAGTAACAGTCAACATGGGTTTTTTCTTTTTGAAGAATATACTTCTTAAAAACAAAGGTAAATAAACAGTAAAAAACAATTCACAATGTTAAAAACGATCAAGTGTCAGCCTTCTGTCTTAGGATCTGACACTTTAAAAAGGATTAAGATAGACTCAAAAATTTTATATTTTTGTGAATAGTCTTAACTTCATTTAAGAAGTAATATTTGTTTATTAAACTTCAAAACAAAAACTACTTATTTATCATCATTTCAACTATTCAATACATTAAATATGTTTTTCACTTCAAATGTTTAAAAATTATTACACATGTACAATAAATGATAACATAATGTAAACAAATTCAGAATTCTAAATAGTTTAAGTCAAATTAACTGGGTTATTTTTGGGCTGTAAGAAAAATGATTATACTAATAAATTTAGTCTAAAAATAGATGATTAGGATGCCATCTTGAATTAATAATAATTAGAAATGAACACTTCCAGTTTGAAGGATGCTTATGTGGCATTCAATGTTTACTTACTTGCTAGTCTAAGGATGCCATGTGTATCCATTTTATTATGCCTATTTCTGTTATATTTTACTTGATCACTAAGTTAAGTGCGTTATCCTTGCCTGGCATAGTCAATGTATTTTATTTGACAGGAAATTTTTACTTTTCAGAATTTTTACTTATTATTGCAAGTTTTTTTTATGATGACTAATAACAAAAATTTATGATCTTACATAATTTAAATTACTTCATTAGGTTAGAAAGGCACTTTTTCTGACAATGAATTTTAGTTATCTGAAAGTATCTTTCTTTATGTATTTTATGAAGCAATCAGATGCATAAATTTTGCTGAAAATTTTGAAGATATGTTGTTAATATAATAAATGGATTGAGATCCAAACAATTGAAAAAATTAAATTTAAAATCTGCTTAGTTTAATGAACTAGCTGAAACAAAGAAATCTGACATAAAAAGATGGTTAGGCTGAAACAGTTTGCCCATGCAAACTTCATTTATTATTTGTAACACCCCTTTTGTTGAAAAGAGAATGTGTGTGTTTTATTAGAGAGTGGCACTTACCAAATTCTTTAAGTACTGTAGAGCCCTGATTACCTATTAATATGATCTTTAGGATCCAATTTATTGTTTAACTTTGTTATTTTACTGTATTTTTGTTGTTTATATGTGAATGCTCAGTTATGTATTCTGTTAAATATATTTTAACTTTTTCAGTTTTGGTAAACATTTTTTGTTTTCAATGCATACATGTAAATCTCAAGTTATATTTAATTAAAATAAAATTTTGTTAGTAAAACTTAGTTTTTAACTGTATAATTTAAATTATCATCAGAAATTTATAGTAATATATATTTTTATTATGTAGGTTAACAACAATGGGTTTGGCATTTCTTATTGTGCCATTCTTACCAGCTTCTAATATATTCTTCAGAGTAGGCTTTGTCATAGCAGAGAGAGCATTGTTTCTTCCAAGTTTAGGAATTTGTTTTTTAATAACAATAGGATTTCATCAGATCTGTAATTCTTCAAATCAACAGGTAAATGTTTAATAAATTTCAAATTTATAAGAAGATAAACATTATTTTATTAAATATTTATTGTTTATATTATAAATTTTTCCTATATGTAATCAATGACTTTAATAGTGTAATGCACTGTTTAGTCTGCTCAGAATTAAACTTAATGATCGGTGTTACATAAATGAAAATTGTTTCAAACAGTTGCTAGGCCTGAACTTTGGATGGGGCCAGAAGAAATAGCAAACTTCTGGTCCCCATCCTTGTCAGCAAAAATTAAAAAAATTCAAAAGTATTTATTATATGAAAGAAATGACTATTTACAAAAAATGGGGTTAGCTTAGACACACAACTAAGTTAGTAGTGATAATTCATCCAAATGCAAACATTATAAAACTTGGAACTATAATTAGTAAAACTTAAAGTTCTTGGTATTTCTATAGAGAATTAAAGGTAATTCATAAACAAATCACTTACAAAACTCTTAGAACATAAATCATGAAACTGTCACACTAGGAATGATGAAAGAATCCAATCACTTTACTAAATCTTGCACTCTGGAGAATCACCTCACTTGCATTTGATAGCTTCACCTAATCAGTCTCCTGTTACTCCATGATTTTATGTCTCGACTGTGACATTACATTAGCGTGTGCCACTCTATCCTATTTACATACATACTTACTAACAAACGCTTTTATTTCTTTGCAATCTTTTATTTAACAAGAGCCATTCCAATCTTTCTATAAATTTATCAGTAACAATGGGATTAAGTAACTACTCTAATCTATTTGAAGATCTCTTAACCCGAAATGCCATGTTAGATTGGTGACAGCATGTAAGTAACCTTTGTTTTTTCAAACTTAGATTGGGAGGTGTAGAAGTTTTTGTCTTTTAAACAAAATAAAAATGTTCCTAAACTAAAATAATAACTATAACTAAAGAAAACCCAGAAATAAAAAACAGATTTGACTCCTTACAATAGTTCATGTTTTGAATGCAGAGTTTATTCACCAAATCTTTATTTTACTTTTTTGACACTTTGGTCACAATAGACATTTCAGAAACAGTTTTATTCTTCAGTTGTTTTTTAAAGGGTCAAGTTTAACATTATTTGAGACTGAAAACATGAACGGCATGTATATATTTGTTTTATAAATAATTAGAAAAGTCCCAAAGGACATTTGTCATTTGAGGTTGATTTAAACAAATCCATAACAAATTTTTATGTAATGTTGGTATATAATAATACAAAAATAATTTTTATTTTGGAAACCCCTGAAGGTTTCTTTGCATATAAACCCCTTTTCAGGGTGTTTATATGCAAAGAAACAAATTTGTTCTGTCCTTCCAATCTGATGCTCACCAGAGGTCAAAAACCACTCAAAAGAAAATTTTAATTCACAGATCTTGACCTCTCGTGAATGTCAGATTGGAAGGATGGAACAAATTTGTTTATTTGTCTATAAACCTCTTTAGTGGTTTCCAAAATAAGTGATTAAATCTGACAAATATTGCTGATTTTAGTTTTATATTAAATAATTTTTATAGGACTAATGGCTTTTCTGGTGACTTAATGCCCATATCCACAAATTTAACTGATTTGTTTGTTTTTTGATACTTATTATATTTTCATTCTCATAAAACTTTTGAGCTATTCTAAGCATCTCTGTTATCATTATTATGCATTTGTTTTTGTTTGGTTAAGCTTAGCTTTTTCTCACTTACACTAATATAATAATTAATTGAAATATTAAACATTGGTTTGAACTGGCATTATCATCATTTTTAAATAAAAGTTTTTTATTAATTATATTGAAAACTGATAATTTGCTTGTTGTGACTTAAAAGGAAGGTAATCTGTATTGCAAACATTAAAATCAAACAGAGTACATTTTGTTTTTATGCTTTTTATATAGTTTTTATTTTATCATTGATTGTATATTTCTTTTCATTTATTAATTTTATTAGTAAGCATAATGAAACATATTTTTGATTTGTGCTTTTCGTTTATTCAGATGAACATTATCTGCTTCAGTGTTTTAATAGCAACATATGTTGGAAGATCTATACAAGTAAGTTCTAATTTTTGTTTTACAAGCAGACTTTATAAGTTGCAGAAAATATTTTTTTTTAACAGTTCTAAACATTCATTTGATGATATATTCTATAAGTAATGTAGTTAATGATGTTTTCTTGAAATATTATGTCGGTAAATTAGAATAAATTTCAAAATGTATAGGAAGATGTTTTTTATTTCTTTATAAATATTGGAAATATTTTATGAGAGGGCAACTTATCTTGCATAAAAAAGTTATTTAAAAGAAGTTATGTATTTTAAATATTTACCTATAATTGTAATTTGTAAGAATTTTTAAATCATTGTTTTGTTCCATTTTTATCTGAAGAAAAGTTGATTTATTTTAAGTACTTGTAATTTGTGTGTACTATTAAATTGATCACATTTCAAGTTAGTATTATTTACCAATATGTATCTCTTACATATGATGACAATGACATTTGTTTGATTTATTTCATTTTTTTTGTAAATGCTTGAAAGTAGTTTAATAACTGAATATATTGGAAATTTTTTATCTTTTCTTCAAAATGAAACAGTTTTGGGGAGTATTTCTGAATTTATGATGTCATTCAGTGTTAAATTGAATTTATTTTTTATTTGGGGATATCAAATCAGTTAACACTTTGTTACTTGAGGAATTGTATAACTATTGGCCAACTAGTTATTAATGTCCAGTTATTTATTTTTTTAGTTTAATATTAAATTTGAATCTCTATCTAAATTGGATTTTATTACACTACAGAATTCATAAAAATTATTATTTTTGATATTATACAAGGGGAGTCCAATATTACTTCCCTTGATTTCACATATGGAGTACTATATACTCCACACGGCGAATCAAACCAAACTGTGGTTGGTGGCACAGTGGAATTGGACGGTCCTGCAACATGCTCCGTATAGTCAGATTTAACCCCCTCAGATTTTCATTTATTCGGACCTTTAAAGAAATTTTTGGCAGTGAAACGCTTTGCGGATCAGGAGGAATTGGAAGGCACCATTTTGGACTGCTTCAAGCAACTTGACAAGCAACAGTACTGTGAAGGGGTGTTTATACTAGTGTCATGCTAGGATAAATGTCTGAATGTTTATGACAATTATGTCGAGAAATAAATGAAAGTATGTCATTTTGGTGGAATGTATTAAATATTTTCTTTAATTATAAATGTTGATGTAATTTTGGCTTGTGCCTTTAATATTGGACTTCCCTCATAATTTGTTGATGACATTACATATTCCATGTTACTTGGTCCTTCTACATTGTAAGTGGCATATCATAGAACAGTAAGAAAATTAATTATTTCATTTTGCAATGAGATAAAATTAGAAAAATGTATTTTTACAATTACTTGACAATAATGTCATATGTCCTATAACAGATAATGGATGGAATAGTGTTACAATGAAACATTACCATTTCTGAATGTGACTACATATAGAAAAAAAAGTGTAATTTGAGATTGATTAATATAAAAGGTAATGGCAGATTCCTACTCATGTGGAAAATTAGGGAAAATTATGAAGTCAGAAAATTTGTCAAAAGTTGTCAAAAAGTCAGGAAAAATCAAGAAAATTGTCTCCTTGGTTGCCTTGTTGATTTTGTTTCTTGACAGTATGGCTGATCAAGTGTAGCTATCTGCAGGTGGTAAGAAAATAATGTGGTGCAATGCAGCTTACAATTGGGAGAAATTTTGGTTCAGGACCAAAAATATCCCACAATCATACACAAAAGTCCCTAAAAATTATTGTGCACAAAATAAAACCATAATGTATGAACCAATTAATAATTATTACCACATAGTTTGAAAAATTCAAAGTAAGTCATAAAAATAATTAAGTAGGCTTACCATACTTTTTGCCATGCAACATAAACTGATAAGTTAACATAAATATTTCAAACATTGCTAAACCTGATATATAATAAAGCTACTCACCAACCGAATGCCGAAAATCTATCGGGCTAGTATAAGGCTAATTATTAAATGAATTATGTAACCAATTTGGCTTTAGAGGTAAGCGTTAGGCGCCATCTCTTATTAACATCAATAATTATAAATAAATTAATTAATTTAAATAATTTAGAACCGCTGGGAGAAAAAATCAGCCCGGAGCAGGACTCGAACCCACAACTCCTGCTTACCGTGCAGATGCGTTGCCAGTTACGCTAACCGGACCTCCAGTTTGATCTCCTCTTCCAGCGTATATAAGCTAACTATATAACCATCAACAGTTATTACAATGCCGGCTGGGGACACATTCTGTGCCCAAGTCCTACGTCCTATAAGGCACTCAACCGGCCATTGCAAGCCAATTTAATAATTAGCCTTATACTAGCCCGATAGATTTTCAGCATTTGGTTGGTGTGTAGCCATAAATATTTCATATTAAAAGAATGCTTAATTTAAACATGTGTCATCATAATAGGATAGATACATAGCATAATCAATTATAATCCTGATGTAATATGTTGATTAATAGAAATAAAATTGAAGTCAATGTCATGAATGATTATTTTTATTTTTAGCACAGGTATTAATTAATGGACTTTTTGATTTCCAAAAATGTAAAATTAATTTATGGCAATGACTTCAGAAAACATTTTCCTATTATTGAAATTATTTTCCCACCATGGCCAGTTTGTTTAACTTCTAAAGCACTCCTTTACATTACTTAATTAAAATAATTTTAAAAAGTTAATAGGAAAAATTACATACATTTAACATTTCATTTTACAAATTTAAATAATTTCATTAAAACATTATAGTTTTTTGAAATTACTTTGAATTTTAAAACAATACAATTTGAATCTAATCTTTGGTAATTGAGCCATTCACAAGCCAAATTGATTAACTCCACATTTCAAATTTTTTAAAATTTTAGTGTCAAAGCACTTGATATACTAGTAACCTTTTATATTCATAATAAGTTTCCCTAATAATGCCTTGTTGATAATAGTAAATTATTTAATGTTATCTTGTCACAAAAAATAAGTAAAATAAATTAGTTACAGTCCAACTATGGCAGAAGTAAGTATACTTGTAGAATATTGAACGATTGTTTTAATTTTGGTGGCAATTGTTTATAGAAAAATGTTATACCATTATATCAAGATGGATGAAACTAAAAATAACTTTTTCATTCCTCCTATTAAACATGATTCTTACAAAAATTTAAGAACGATTCAACACGATGGAACCTCAAATAAAGCTGACAAACACATCATTTATGTTGCTGAATAATCAATTTAAACAAAATAATAACAATAACTATACTAACATTAACAGAACAGTTATTAGTAATTTTTGCAAAAAATCTTTAATAAAAAATATATGATAATGATGTTTTTCTATAATAAAAAGCTGTGAAAACTGACTGAATCTGACTAAACTGAATGTTACTATGTTTTTACTTGCCAAATCAATTAACTCCATCAGTCACACCAAAATCGTAATAATAATGATTATAACATAGCTATGCTATTTTATATACAGTCAATTTCGCTTAATTGAGACACATTAGGATTAATCCATTTTGGCCCAATTAAGCAGCTGCTCCAATTAAACGAACTAATAATAAATTCTACAATAAAATATGTAATATGTAGGTAAATAAATAAGTAGGTAAAAAGTAATAATTAGGTACCTATTTTAATGCTTTATTAAACCAAAATACAGAAAATATTTGTACTATAAATTTGCCAGACTCACTACGCAAGATAATTGATTTGCATAATGCTAGTGTTGCCAAATATTAGTAGTGTTGACACAAGGGTTAACCATTCGATCCATTCCTGATCGAACAATTTTTCCTTTCTTTCTTTTTAGTTAGAACATGTCCTAACTAAAAAGGGAGAAATTGTTTGAACAATAAAGATATATAATTTATACAGGGTTGTCATACTGAGGCTATTATCCAGTAAGTTAATATAATTGAAATCAGGCCTGAGAACATAAGATTGTATTTCAGAAAGCACGTCACATGACAGAAACAGATGATTTATCATATTTGCTACAAGCATTTTACAAAAAGAACATTCAATGTTATTCAGTATAACATTTCTTTTCCCTTTTAAAGTAATAGAATGTCTGTTTAGATGAAGCTGAATGAATAAATGATTTAATTTTATAATTTTTTATTAGACAATAGATAAATAGATGGACACCAAGAGATATTATCCAATGTTTTGAAATTATATTCTTTCTCTCGCAAATAAAACACATCCTGCAACCAATATATATTTCGTTATCTTAGTTTACACGTTGTAAGGAAAGATTTTTCATTAGGAAATTCAAAACATCTGGCTAAGGATAATTTGAGATTGTTTAACAATTTTTTAATAATGATGGACCACATTTCCCAAGAAATCATATTACTGGGTGACAAGAGTTCATTATATATCAGTTGTCTGTAATCATTACTTGGTAGAGAGATAATACTATTCCAGAATTGTAGCAAACACTGATAGATTAACATCCAGAGATGGCCTACCCAATTCCGTTCTTATCACAGGTCTTGGCACAGAATGATTTAAATGAAAAACTTTTCTGAAAAAAAAATAATTGTATTTTTTTCTACTTTATCCACCAACACTCTTCCTCGTATAGAAAATGCATATAAAATACTCAATCTAATTAGCACATCAAATAAACTATAGTAGTTATTAAGTGATGAGATTATTAGTTTAACAAGAAGCTTGATGCAATTCAAAATTTTTGCTTTAACATCTAGTATGACTTTTTCCAAATGAAAAGAATATAAACTTGAGTGGTAAAATAAATGCTTAAATATTTAAAGTATGAGATAATATCCAATTTGTGATTCTCTAAATAAAATTCATCTGTTTTTTTTAAGCTTGCTGCCTCTTTGGAAAATCAGTATTTTTATTTTTTTTAGATTAACTGTTAGTCGGTCATCCTGCCAGTATATATGGATCAAATTTATTCTTTCCCGAAGAGCGACTGTTGTGTTAGTCAACAAAAGAACGTAATCAGTATATAGGAAGCAATTTATGTTTACATGTGATGATAAGGCAATTTCAGAAGTTTGACCCTGTAGAGATTTCAGAAGATTATTTAGAAAAGGAATTTTTTTTTCTGCATACAAAAGGAAATGTCACAAGATAATTGGTATTCTCCCCCTGATAAGCAATGCCTGTAACAAAGGATTAAAATACAAACAACAAAAACAAAAGGAAAATTGAGGGTTTCTAAATATATATGAACTCATATGTATTAATTAGGGCTCATATGTATAAATATAACTAACAAATACAATAAAAATTTCAAATTATAAAGAAACTGTTTACAAATGTGAAAAATCTTCATGTAAAGATTGTTCCACAAAGCCCATATTTTGAATAAACTGATAGAAAAAAGATCTCAAAGAAATGATCATCTTAAAGAATGGGGTAAAATATAAGTTTCATTATGAATAATGCTTAGTGGAATGCTAAGGTACAGCTATATAATTCAGAACAAATGGAACCAAGGAAGAAATATATATATAAATGAAATTCTTGTTGGTTTTATCTTTTATACAAATCTTTATTCTTAAACTGATCTGGACCAAAATTTTAGTATTAATTAGACCCTGGAATCGACACTAAACTATATATTACTCCAAAATATTGGGATAGTGTATAGATACTGCATCCTTTATGTGTAGTGCCATCTGTTGACAAAAGTAATTAAGTAAATGCTAATTGTTGTTGGTTTTTGGATTGCTGATATTGGCCAAATTTGGCCTTATCCATTCAAAATGAGATCGACTGATGGAAAAGTTGTTTGATTAGTTTTGCTATACAAATTTTCCTTGTAGCCTGAGGGGTAAAAACAATTTAGTCTCTAGCTACATAGTAGGAGAAAGTTTTCAGAGCTTAGAGTTAAAGGCATCATCACCGTGGAATCATGTTAAAAAGTTGTCCCTTTAGATGAGGGTCTATATAGATGAGTGCCCACCTATTGGGAGACAGATCTACCGAGAATTTTGTTAAACAACTTTTGCATATCAGTGATGGCAAATTCACTGAAGGTCTGGATATTAATTTGATAACACTTACTACATTAATTTACCATAACTGGGATATATTGGAGAGCAATATTGGCATGTAAAACTAAATGCGTTGCCAAATATACCACCAGATGGACAACCACCTCATAACCTAGATCTATAGGTTGAACCATCAGTAATGGTTTTGCGAAATTTAGATCACCAAAGTTATGCAATGGGACAAGAATGATCTTTTATCTTTGTTTACAAGTCCAAGCAATTTTTTTTTACAGTTTCGTTATTATAAATACTCGAGTCAATAAATGCACATTTTAGTTACTAGGGCCATTGTTTTTATCACACTCTTAATTTCACATTTCTCAAAAACTGAGCAATGCTGGGCACACTAACTTAAAGGTAAACATAAACAATAAGCTTTAACAATTCCAATGATGAATTCCCCAACAATAAAAAAGTGAAGTGGTTTGTGAGACCACATGATTGCACTTAAGGGTTTTAACTCTATGCATTGGATTTTAAAGCATTTGTAATTGTAGATTTGCTGAATTTTTATTATTAATTTGGATTAAAAGACAAAGGAATTTATATTGTAATTTATATTTATTTTAATTTAAATTAATTTAAATTATTTATTTTATTGTAAATTATTATATTTCTGTTTATTTACGATTTATATTTGTTTTATGACACTATTATAACCTTCTGATGACTAGATGGGAAGCATAAAATGACTTCAATACTAGTTTTTGCTGAATATTTATCTAAAAAATTTTTTAGCACTTTAATATTTCTTAGCCAAGTTTAATGTATTCTAAAATTTTGTTCCAAAAGAATCGAGTATTCTTCTAAAATAAAATTATTTTTGGGTTGAGATCATTAATTGGTCTTGTATGGTCCTTACTGATATAAAGTTGTTTAATGTTGTTAAGTGCATTTATTCATATTTTAAGCTTATTGCAGAAGACATTGACATGTGCTAAAACATGTTGCTGCATATGTTAAAATATGCAGCAACATGTTTTAGCACATGTATGTATGTGAATATCTGTTTCCAAGAATGTTAGAACTTGACATTGCATTTCTTTCTTGCTGGGATCACTGGATATATTCTGATTAGATAATTCTTGAAAACTCTGTAATCCTGCATCTGCAGGTGTATAGGAATTGAATTATCCAAAATTTAGAGTTTAAGTATATTTATTTGGTTGATTAAATACATAAATAGATGCATTTTGGGCTGACTTACATTTCATGACCACTCATCAGTAACTAAAATTATTAGGAGCTAGGTATAACTACAAAATTAATTAAAAATAATAATAAAACCAAACATAATAGTAATATCTTATTTTTTATTGAGTAATCTGGTCTCCTTAAATACGAAAGTACATGAGCATAATATGGAATATATTTCACACCAATACATGAAGCAAATGATAAGGATTGGTACAGTACATTAGATTATAGATGTTTCATGCTATCGGAATAGGCCATTAGTGTTTAAAAGTACACTTTGTGTTATGCTAAAATGTAACCACTTTGTTGCCACAGATTTGCATTGCATGTTTGTTTCATAGACTATATATTTTCTGCACTCACATTGTGGTTTCAGTTTACAATTAGTGATAGATGGCACATAAGGTGCATAAATGAGGGTTTCTATGGATGAACTTGAAAGATTAGCCAATAAAATTGTGACGATATTCCTGATGAACTTGAAGTCTCAGAAGATGAAGATGCATTATTAGGAGATAATAGTGAAATCAAATATTGTGAATAATCTGAATCAGCTACACATACTGTTAGTGATTTATGCAAAAATATGCCATTTACATAATAATCGAAATGATTAAGTTCAACTGGACATCTATTAGTTGGAAACATAATTCTGATGTATATCATGTTTCTTTTTACTTTTAAAGTATTTTGTTACAGCTATATTTTATTTCCTACTATAAAGCATTTTTCTTAGGTATCATTAAATATGTTTAAAGCTAATTATTAGATTTTAATTTATATTGTAAATTAATTAGTCCTTTATAAGTGTGTTCAAGTGACTATTAATGTTTCAAAGTTTTACTAGGTCATCAGAAGGATAAACAAGTCTTTTCCCTTATCATAAAGAGCTTATTTATAATAAGTAATAAGTAAAATAATTTTGTTGATAAATGTGTGAACTTGTAGTACTGACATTATTACAATTGTACAAAAATAAATGATATTTATATTGAATCTCTCATCAAATGATGTGATTAAAATTTTTCACTTTTTACTAAAATGTTAAATATTATGTTTTTAATAGAGAAGTTCTGATTGGAGAAATGAGGAATTACTTTTCAAGACAGGTTTAGATGTTTGTCCTTTAAATGCAAAGGTAATATTTAGTTTTAATATATAGATTTATTATCTTTAAAATAATAAGAAATTGAATCAAATTAAGAAAATTTCAAAAAATTCAATTATTCGTTCAAAAATATCACAAATGTTTTGTTTTATTGGAACATATTTTATTAATTGAATACTTAAACCCTTGAACTTTTGAACTTATTGTTTATATGCAGGAGTATGAATTCCTAAAGTAATGAAGCAAATGCACAAACTTAATATTAAATTTTAAAAAGTCTAAGAAATTTTAAAGTTTATTCACTGTTTATCATTATTTATAAATATAAGCATCTTTCTAATAATAATTGTACAAGGTTCCATTAGGAACACTTTAGGATCCATATTCATAGGTCAAAAATTGCCTCTTTACATGTTTTTGTTAACCACTTCTGTATGTATGGTATATGGAAATTTTCATCTGTTCTTCAGGATGCATTTTTGTTAGGATATTACTGTTTTAGCTTCTTTCCATTTAATTTATACATTTTTATTTAATGCTTGATCAGTAAATATGGTCTGTTTTTTGTGCTACTGGCATTTTTTTTAGTTTCTAGGTTTTTGTACATTAATTACATCTCATAAACTCATTAATAATATCTCATAATATTAAATACACTTTTAAAATTTATTGACAAATCAATGCTTCTGTAATTCAAAAATTGTGTCTTATAAGGCAAAAAGTTATAGAAAATAGAAACTGTATTAATTAATGAATGTATTAACAACTTAATATAAAATTATCATTACTGTAATTATCTGCAAATAACCAGTGGGCTATCTATTGACTTCAAATTGCAATTAAAAGCCTATTTAACATCTTTTCCTTTATAATAGCTTAATGCTCCTGAATTAATGTTATTTTCAATGATGAATAGCACTTTCCATTAGTTGTGACTTTGTTGTTTGGAGCTAATCCTATGAGGACTAAGATGGTTACTGGTTTAGAAGTATTTTATTTCCAATTTTTCTGTCAGATATGCATTTCAGGCTTAAACCCTCATCAGTCTCATCTATTTGGATACTTAACATATGAATTACAAGATTTAAGAATAAAGTATTTATCTTATATACGATTTTTAATTTGTATGATTAATTTTATAATTATTGATAATAATGTTTCAGATTCTTAAAATTAAGATACAATGATTAAAATTATTAACATTATTATATATGGATAAGTGTAAATTTTAAAATACAAACATTAAAAATATAAAGCTGTGTATACTGTATAATATCTTAAAAATACTAGATTTTAAACAAAGTTATAATTTTACAAAAATAGTGCCAGTATAAAATTCAACGTTTTGTGTGTATCTGTCAGTATTACAACTTCCAATCTTGTGAATTTAAACATATGTTATACAGTGGAACCTCAGTTAACGAACTTTATCTGTTTTGCAACTGCATTCATTAACCTAAGCAATTTTTCCTATAGAAATTAATGCAAATGCAATTTATCTGTTCTAGCTTCTGAAAGTTTTGTGATTATATTTGTAAAATACGGTAGGATTTCTTTGTTGAAAATGTAGGAGGAAAATGTAGTATCTATCATTACAGCAACAAACATGTAAGCTTTATTTAATAAAATAGACTTGTACATACCTTCGTTTGTTGTAGTTGGTGGCAGAGGAGTGGCGATATACAGAGCTTAATGTTTAGAAGGGGAATCCCCTCCAAAAAAATAACAGGTGGCACTTCATCGGGAGATTCTTTGAGTCAAGGTCTCTTTTGGTAAGGAACAAGAAATTAATCTAAAGTTGATTAAGACGTCTTACTCTTTTAATCAAAATTTTTCTCAAATGCGATAGTGCATTGTTGTTTTCTATTGCCACTATCACTTTTCTCTTTTTTTGATGCTGTATTGATTAAATATAAAATCACAAAATTGAAAACAGAAAGAAGTTTAGCACAAACACTTGGAAAATCAATGCTTAACTTGTACATGCCTAACAGCAACTAAACTTTGACACAAAAAACCATTACGTTCTTTATCTGAATTTCGTGTTTTATCCGAGACAAAATTTTTGCAAAATAAAAGTTTGTTAACCGATATGGTCGTTAATCAGGGCGTTTGTTAACCAAGATTCCACTGTATTATAAAAATAAAAGATTTTTAGGTTAAATTGTCTGAAAATAAAAATAACAGTAAAATTATTTTTAAAGTTAAATATATAAATGATTATAGTTGTGAATGTACTCTGTGCATAATTCTGCGCATAGCTCCTGTATAGGCCCTAAACTAGTGAAACTATGTATGATTGAAACAGATAGATTAATTAGCAAACTAAGAGATGTTACATTTTATAACATATATGTAAACGACTGTTTACTCATTTATGACAAAACTTTAACAAATCTAACCTTAATCATGCCAATTCCATCCACACAGATTTAAAATATGATTTATGAAAAAGGCAACCAGGATTCAGTTTCCCAAGAAAATCATGGCAATTCTTAACAGAGTAAGAACTAACTGTGGACATTGCAAATATCTCCTTAGTAAATGGCAATAATCAATAAACGTATCATGTGAATGTGGATCCCTCCAGGCTTCCCAGAGCTTCATGAGGAAATACTTCTAATCTCAGAGGATGCCAAGTCATGGATACACAATATTTCCCTTGTAGTATCTGTACATAGTTTTGTAAATAATTGTATTCCATAGCTATAATTAAATAAATAAATGAGGGGTATGCCATTAATGCATATCTGACAAAAAAATTGACAATAAAATACTTCTAAAACAGTAACCATTTTAGTCTTTGTTAACATTTAAAAACAAATCTATGATGAACACAAACTATGAATGGCTGAGTTATTAGATATTTTTAAATCTACATTAAGAGAACAATATATTAATAGCAGAGACTGTGAGACGATATCTTTTGCATGGTGATTATTATTTGATTAATGCCCTTTAAAAAAAAGGAGGGATGACAAAAATGCAACATGCTATAAAAAACATGCTGTTATCCTAGCTCATTGGATTATTATTTTTTTCATTACTTTATTTATAATGTTAATTGTATACTATTTTTATTATGTTTTTATTTTATATTTATGTTTTATTTTTATTGTAATTGAAAATCCCATTAGTTTTTTTAAAAAATGTAATTTAATATTATTCCAAAAATAAAACTTCTGTTCAAAGATCTGATGAATTCTTATTAATCAGGCAAAAAACAGTTTTATTAAAAATTAAGTGCTAGAAAAATATGCAAGATATTTTTAGTGTCTTTATATTTTTTGTGGTTTCAGCTTAGACCAGTGATTCTCAAACTTTTTCGATCCACCGCCCCCTTTGTTCCATAAAGTTATACCCAACGCCCCCTAACCCATTTTCTCTTGTGTGAGAAAAGGATTGGAAATATTCTTAGGAAAACTTTTCTATGAATCTCACACTTTGTGTCCTTACTGTACATTGTTCTCATCATCTGGAAACCATTAAACGCAATGTTTCCTCTTATCAGCCCCAATTTTGCCTTTGGTCACCGTTCAATACCCTGCCTCCAGCGCCCCCCAGATCTATTCATCGCCCAGAAGGGGGCGTTATTGCTTACTTTGAGAAACGCTGAGCTAAAATAAAAGTCAATGTGTTAGAAATATTCAAGTTATGACCTTCAATAAAAAATAAAAAATATATAAAATGTCAACATTTTATATATATTCCGTCAAATTTTTATATATAGAATTTGTCTGCCGTCGCCCCTCTATATTTCCTTAACGCCCCCCAATTCTCTTTGAGCCTTCTACTGCCCCCCTGAAAGCCTCCAGCGCCCACAAGGGGGCGTTATCGCCCACTTTGAGAAACGCTGGCTTAGACTATTAACAATGAATACAACATGTAACATCAGCAGCTAATCAAATGACATTCGATTCACTTATGTTCTCTATAAATATTTTTTTCGTGTTTTGCTGGAGTTTTTAGTTTTTTGTTCTTTGTTATTCTTTTTTACATTGGTATCCAGTTTCTGCTTTGTTTATGTTAACTGTTAGTCCTATTTCTTTTTGAATTTTAGCAATGTCTTCATCTTTATCATTGTTGTAGTCTTTTCTTGCTTCTTTATCTAACTTTGTCAGTTTTTCATTTGTTGATGGAAAAGTATGAGATTTGAGTAATTTTTAAATATAATTTTTTTTTAGTCTCACTGAATCTTGCATCTTTTACGAGGTTTACAGTTTCTGTGTGAATCTAATTAATGTTAAAATACTGAAATGAATGAACAGCTTCAGGATTTATATTTTTTTGACATCCATTTTTTAAATAAGGTGAGATAACCTTTCAATCTTCATCAAAAAGCTTAATGCTATCAAAAATATTAAACTACTTCCAGAAATTTAGCACATTGTTTTTATTGGCTGTGTTGGTCTTGAAAATTAGTTTTTAAAAAGTGTAACATAAAATAAAGATATTTTCCAACTTAATTAATGGTGCTAAAGACATAAAAGTAACATGTAACATTAAAGTTTATTAACTTTAAAAACACGGATAACATATTGGGCTATTGGTTGCATAACTGATGTGCTCAATGGACCAAGGTGTTATCAATGTGGTGGTGATGGTAAAAGCATTGTTTTCACATTGAAACACAAGCTAACAAAATCAATAACATGAACAGAGGCATTATCTAAAAGTAAAATCACTATGAATACAATATTTATCTTCAAAGTATTTTCCCACTGCAGACAGAAAATAGTCCACAGATCAGTCATGATTTTCTTGATTTGGCTGCAATTTGAAAAAATTGTAGACTCATAAATTCCTACTGTCATCTGCCTGTCTGTTTGTCTTTCCTTAATCTCGAGAACAGAGTTAGATAGATGAAATTCGAGACCAGATGTAGGATGCCTCAATGTCCTTGACTTACTATAATATAAATTTTCATCTACAAGTACGTATTTTCTAATATCAGGACTTATTATACTGGCTTTACAGATAATGTTACAGAGTTTCACAGAAAACAATTTTTTGTTTTATTAATATACCTGTATATTAAATTCTGTAAAACTCTGTAGCATTATCTGTAAAGTCAGTATAACAAGTCCTGATAATAGAAAATACATACTTGTAGACGAAAATTTATATTTTAATTATTAATTACATATTTAAAAGGAAGTCATAGTTTAGCAAAGGCTGTGGTATATTAAAAACGAATTTCTTGTTTGTATATTTATATTACAGCGCATGCGTTTAAGCTCAGTGTTGCCATCTAGTCATCAGTGACTGGATAGCTACTGAAGCATTTTGGCTGGGTTGATGTGTGTTGTCCATAGTATGTGTGTGAGGTTGTAAATGTCTTTGTCTCTATGATGAAATAGCCATACATGGGTCAGTTCTATGTGGTAAAGGAAGCTGTGGCAGATTTTACAAACATGAGTCTCTGCTTAACTCATAAATGTAGATCTTATTAATCTGGGGCATCTATACTGGTATTATTCTATCATGACCATTTTTTCCCTCCACAAAACTGGGTATCCTTTTATTTTAAAACTCAGGTTTTTATAAATCAGTCACCTTTAAAATGGAGAACAGATGCTGTTCAACAGTCACTCATGTTCATTCAGACACTGCTTGAGTCACTCTGTTTCATTTCTCTCCATAAACTTTATTGATATGGATAGTCTTATTGGAATTGTGCTTTTCTTAGCATTGCTCTCTATGGCTCATTGGAATCATTTTTTATTAGCATTGCTCTCTATGGCTTATTGGAACTACTGAACTCTCATGTTGAAAATACAGTGACTAAAGTTTTATATTATTATATATTTTATTAACATCTAAAAAGAAAAATAGGTCTCTACTACATAATTGGAAACATCAATCTTAGAGACCTTGTATTTTTGTAGACTTCATGTTTTGCAAATTTGTTACTATATAAGAGTTTATTGATTTGAGTTTTTTTTGGGTAATAAAAAGCAAAATTATGATTAATGATTCAAATTTATTCAAAACACTTAATAATTTTATAGTAGTAAAATTAAGAAAATTTTTGAATAAATTCTAACTTTTTTAGTCATTTGTTATTGCACATGTATAATATATAAATATAATATATAAAAATATAGTAATTTAGGTTTAAGATTGATCAATTTGGAGATAGGTTATTTTTTACTGATAAATTATTTGAAGATAATAGTCTCTAAAAGAATTATAAAACATTGAAAAGAACTAAAATCGTACGTTTTTAAGGAAGTTTTTAAGGAATGTTTTGTCAATTTGACATTATTCTTATTATTATTATTATTTTATTTGAAATAATTTTTTTTATTATTATATTAACAATGGTTTCTTTAATACCATTGAAAACAATTTATACAAATAAACATAATTTTCCTTATGTCACCAAGACCAGATTTTGCTGCTGCTTGGATGAATTTAGGAATTGTTCAGAGCAGTAAAGGAAAAGTGATTGAAGCTGAACAAAGTTATCTCACTGCTATTAATCATCGTAAACATTATCCAGATTGTTATTATAATTTAGGAAATTTGGTAAGTTTATTTTATTTTATTTTATTTAATATCATAGGAAGTTATTCATCATAAATTTTATTAAACTTTTGCATGAGAAGAACAAAACAATAATTAAACTCCAAAATACTATCAGTCAGAAAGTTAAGTAAGTTTGAAAGACTATGATTTAATTTTTTTATAAAGAAAAGTTAGATTTATATAATTATATATTATGAGTAAGAGAGAGATCTTGCTTTTATTTCTTTGTTGCACTATTGTATCTGTATGATGCATTTGTAGATACATTTTTGTTTGGATTCACACTGTCATTGAAGTTCAACTTTTGTTTGGAAAATTTATCTTTTTATATATATATTTACCTATAAACCTGTTCTATTGTATTTTATAGAAAAATTTGGAAAATTTCATTTTTTAAATGATCATGAAAGATCATTTTAGCAAACAAATCTTTGATGTCACTGCGTGCTGATCAATTAGCTACTGAAAATATGAGGCACGAGACAGAGTCTGAACTTCTTACAAAACACATTAAAAATGTATTTTAATATAAAAAAAACTTGTATAAGATAAACACACCACAAAGTGGCATGAATGTAAATAATGTTAGTCTGAATTGTGACTTAAGCACCCAGGTTAGAATTTTAATCACTGTCCTACCAGAGAATTTGAATCTTGACTCTGACACTCATAGAATAGAAAAAAATTTGGGAAAATGGGATATTCTTAATGAGGGAAAATCGCTGCATTATAATCATTAAAATTTTTGAATGACAGGGGAGAAAACATTATTGTCTAAAATACAAGCAAAAGTTTCAAAGTTTGATCAACATTCGTTTGTCAGATTTGAGATATGGTGTTAGGTGAATACTGAAGATCAACCTTTCTACTGGGCTTTCACTTGGAAACCAGAAAGTAACCATTTGGGAGACAATGTTAAAAAGTAGGGATTTTGAATAAAACAGGAGAACTATTGTAGAGTTGTCAAAAATTGATATATATGGCATAAAGATCACACATCAGGAATTTTTGCATTCCATTAATTTGACTCCATTCAGCCTGCAACTGTGTTGCACGGGAAAGTGCCTTGTCTGTGCATTTCCTAGACATCAATTTCTCTATAACTGACATCACTGTCTGAACATCGATATGCAGGAAGACCACATATATCCGTTGTTTAAGAGATCCATTCTTATATAAACTGGCAGCTTTCATGTTCATTGTCGAAAGGACACATGCACATATCTCCAACTGTAAGGACAAAATATACAAATATAAACAAACCTGATAGTTATATATCAAAGCAAAATCATTTTTGAATTATATTGGTATGTATTACTACTATTACTATTTAAATGCTAAATAATTTGGCACTAGAGGCAAGCATTAGACACCATTTCTTGCTAAATTTAATAATTATAATTAAATTAATATTTTAATAATAAATGTTTTTTATCTTTTTATAAAGTTTGGAATAGTGATAAATGAATGCTCAAATTTATTTTAAAAGTCAAAGCAAAAAGTTTTAATTTTTTGATAGGTCAATATGCAGTGATCCAACAACTAAAAATAAATGTCATATATATTTATCATAATATAAATTAACATATTATTAATTATAGTGATTTTTGAGTTTTAAAAACTTTATTTTTAATATAGTATCTCGAACAAAAACAATATGAAAAAGCTTATTTAGCATGGAAAAATGCAACAACGCTTCAACCCAATCATTTAGTTGCATGGAATAATATGATAATTATGTTAGATAGTATAGGTAAGTATATTATTGATTACGACAGAAATAACATTCGATTTATTAAAAGTTGACATTTTAATAATGAAGATCAATTTACAAAGTATTTGTACGTTGTTAGGGAGTTTATTAAAAGCTGAAGCAATGGCTCAAGAAGCACTAGAAATATTGCCAAACGAAGCATCTCTTCATTTCAATCTGGCTAACACCCTTGGTAAAGTAGGACGATATCACGAATCTGAAAAGCATTTCCAAAAAGCTATTGCCCTGAATAGCAATAATCCTACATATTACACAAATTTAGGTGAGTATATGAGTTTAAGTAATTTATCTTGTTCAAACTGCCATTATTTTATTCACAAGGGTTTCAATGTCGTGTGCATTGATGGCGACAGAAATAAATCTCCGGAGTAGCAGTTGTTTTTCTGTCAGAATATGCAGCCCCTGAGAATGCCTTGCTAGTTTTCCAAGTCTCTTTCTTGTTACCTGGAGTATGGAATTCTTATTTTTGTGTTAAGTGATCACTTACAAAATACAAGTTAAAAAACTTTTTCTGTTGACACAGTAGGCCTTTAGCATTTGACCTTCTTTTGTCTGTAGAATTTGATAGACATATCTTTTTTATATTTCGAATTAAAGTAAATCTTATTATAATGGTTTTAATTTTATATTCTACGTATAATTAAAATAATTTTTAAATAAAAATACCATCATCTTTTCAGGTGTATTATATCACAGATGGAAGAAATATAAAAATGCTGAAGAAGCCTATCTTCGGGCTCTAGAGTTAAAGTCGGACATGAAAAGTGCTCGGGAAAACTTAGAACTCTTGTACAGAACTATTAATAAGATAAATGCATAAAATATATTTAATAATTTTTATTTTAAAATGAAATATTCACTATTTTTCGTCGGAAAATCCAGTTATAGAATTTTGCATTCGAATGAAACCAATATTAGCCATTATTCTATGGCATGAATGAAATGAAATCTTTGTATTTAGCAGATAACTATTAACAGGAAAAAAATCACGGTCCTTTATAATGCATCAATATTGTTATATTCGGAAATATATTATGAATTTATATTATTATTTTATGTAAGTGTAAGAGTACGTTTTAAGTCGAAAATCATTCATAATATAAAACGTTTGCAAGAATTTCCTACATGGTCGAACACTTCATTGTGAACATTTTATGTAATTTTTTTTTTTTTAACGAAATATTCTTATTTCAAATGATTTAACTAATTACATAACGTATTTCACAACAGTAATAATTTGTTAAGATAAATGTATTGTGTAGTTAAGATCATTTCTCAACGAGTGAAGATATTTATTGCGAACCGACGTCATATCAATTGCATTTCCGACGTGCCCAGACAATCAAAAGTTATTTTAATCAATAAATACACGAAAGTACAATTATAAGCGAACATTCCACGTTTCTCGGCAGCTTTTCCAATATATGAACTCTGAAAGTTGTATCGACGGACAGAAAATAAGTTTGATTTATAAGAATGATGTCGATCAATTGGGACAAAGCAGAAAACTTTTCAATTGTCTTCTAATTTGATTTAAAAGAATACGAAAGAATCTTAGCAATTTCTACTGACGATTTCGTATAATAATTTTGCTTTGTCCGGTTATCGTTTACGGATATAAAGTACTAAAAGAAAAATCTATTTTGAAAATTATTTATGTTTTAAAAATTGAAGCGAATCATATCAAAATCTACCTCGTACAAAATACAGTAATTGGACGGCACAAAAACTTTTGGCGTAAGTGTACTGTGTATACTCTGATGAATTAAGGAGAATAAAAGATTTCTAGAACCACTCGTTTTCCTTTTGTACGTCATTGGATGTAGAACAGTGAGGTTGTGGATAAAATGTAATTGAAATAGTTACGTTTCATTTTTCATCCTTGTCGTTATAGTTTTTTGTGTAAATATGTTTTCTATATGATGTTTTGTTACTACTGTATTGCATTAGTTTTGTGTTTAAAAAACAGAATACATAACTAAAAGTGCCAAATGTTTTAGTCATCATTTTCTAATTTTATATAGAACTCGTTATATATGTTAATAAATTGTGTGTAAAACTAATGTAATTAAATGTTGAATAAAACGTCGAATGTATTGTTTATCGAAAGTTATTAACTATAAAAAAAAATTAGAGTTCCGTTTTAAAAACTTACTTAGACTACACAACACCCCGGATCACTCTTAACCAGAGCTATAAATAACGACGGGCAAAGGGGCCAAGCATTGTATCTAATACATGCTTGTGATCTCCGTATTGTGTGGGGAAGACAGAACATTTTCTATGGGTTTGTCAAAGCATTGCATACGGAGTTGATGTTATTTATACTAGATATAATTTAATAGCATATAACACGATAATATACTGTGTATTGTATATAAAAGGTATATTCTGGTAAATTTCATTTTTTATATGTTGTAAACATACGAGAACTTGATATGTCTGTGAAAAAAATTAGTAATGCGTTACTTAAGTTTCCTGCCAAAATTTGGTAACATCATCTGTTACGATATTCTATTAAAAATTATTAGATGAGAAGGTGGTATTATGGAACACTGCGGGTATTATAGAACCACCCCATTTCGAACTGATAATAAAGGCGAACTGTAGCGGAATGTGGCTGAACTGAACTAGGCAGACATCCATAGCAAGGGGAAAACCCGTTTTACTTCAGTTAAACAGTTATCCGTATTTGATCAGCAAATTTGTTTTTTTCAAAATTCGCAAGTTTTGAATGCTAAGTGAATTTAATTATTTTTAAAATATAAATCGTGTAGTTGTAGGTTCACTGGTGCATGTATTCCGTTCCAGAGACTTAGGGGTACATATTAATCTGTGTGATGTTCACGTTTTTTAAATTTTGGTCTTGACAGACATAAGTTAATTCGAGATGGCGATGCGTGAAATACGGACCCCATTGGTGCTTTTACAGTAATATGGAACTCAACTCCTCCGAACTTTCTATTTGCAAGCAGACATTCCTCCAGAGCAATTTGTGAAAAAGACACTAGGTAGAAAGCCAATTCTTCCTGAGAATATCGAAAAAGAGCTGCTGGAATATATATTGTTGATGGAGGTCATATTTTTCTATTATAAAAGCATTTTTGCGATAAAATACATTGGAGTAAATAATTTTGTAATTATTTAACATTTTTTGTCCTTTCCTATTTGTTTTTGGCTACATTAAAGCATTTTTTTGAAAATATACAGTAAGGTTCCATATTACCACCCGATTTTCTCTAAGCCTACTTTCGGACTTTTTGTACAAAAGCCTTCAAAAACCATACTTATAATTACACTAGCGAAAAATCAAATTAGGAACACTTAGTTTACTAGTTATCGGTACTTTTCGCACAAAAACTGTGGGTGTAGTTATGATACCTTGTTTACAATTCACTAAAATGTAATTGGGGTTCCATAATACCACCTTCTCCTCTATAGTTTTAATAATTATAAAATAGATAAAAGCTTAATTATAAAGGCAGATATGGATTTTATAAACATTGTAAATACTAAATAACGAGTAAAATCGTCTGAATCTACAAGAGATTGCCCACCAGTGGCCAAGCGGTACCCCGAACACTGGGACTTCAGTCGTGGGTTCGCGTCTCTCTCGGACGGGCTGGCCACGTGGAATTTTCCGGGTTTTCTCTACGTCTGTAACGCCTAAATCTTTTAGGGATCAATTTCCCTTAAAAAGACCTCCCGGAAGGCATCCCCCTAGACAGATCGCCCAAGTGTTGCGTTACCATAACTTAACAAACGAACCTATAAGAGATATGATACGAACCCCATTATCCCCCTACTCCGTCGACCTTTCACACCAAAATTTAACGGCATCAATCTACCTAATACACAAACCCCAATGCAAATTTTAGAAAATTTCGACAAAACGCACGGAAATAAATCAAAACAAAATCGTTCACCTTACACAATAACATCCAAAAATACAAAAGAAAAAAATGAATAATTTTGCAATTCGAGAAGTTCCGAGATTCTTCAAGATTAAAACGACCAGATTTTAACATTGATGAAGCGGGACAAAATTGACTGGGGGGGGAGGAGTGGTTGTCTCGTTGAAAAACACTGCTCTAGAGTAACAAAATTTTATCATCAAAGAAAGCAAAAATTGTATTGCATTATATTTTTTTAATAGAAAATTATTTTCTAACCGCTCTTGACACTGAAATTTTAATTTCGTTTGCTACTTCGATTACCGAAATTTTGTCACTTTTAATAAATTTTACAGCAATTTGAAAAAAAGCTGNTTTTTTTAATAGAAAATTATTTTCTAACCGCTCTTGACACTGAAATTTTAATTTCGTTTGCTACTTCGATTACCGAAATTTTGTCACTTTTAATAAATTTTACAGCAATTTGAAAAAAAGCTGCTTGATTGTGTACAAACAAGCCAAATTTTTGAAAACTCTCTTTTAAAAAACTATTCTAAAATTCTAGGACATTTATCTTGTGGGAAAAAGTAGAATTTCAAAGGATCGTATATTTTCAAAATTCGTTCAACAGCAGGCAAAAGACCTAACTTTGTACTTTTACAAAATTCTTTAACGCAAATACCACGCGCAATGTATATATAGAAATATGAATATATTTTAATACTAATATTTTTCACATTACGTAAGATGGTACTGGACAGAAAGGAGTCCGAAGAAGCCGTGGTGAAGCGCAAAAGACCTTGGTGGAAAAGGTTTTTCTGCTGCTAAAGGTAACACTCTTTCCGCCGAGCCTTCTTGCACGGATTCCGACTTTCCACCGAATGTGACACAGCCACCCGGAATTGACCTTTCACCCGGCTACGACTTAATCAACCGGACTTGACTTTCCATCCCAATTTACGGACGGATGATACTTGGACAACATTCGAGCTGTCTAGACCCAGTGCTGTTCTTTCTCTAGGAGCATCTGCACCGCCAAATGAATAAGAAAGAGAAAAGTTGCAGCTTTTATGGAGATCTTTGCACTTTTCAACTGCTTATATTTCAGCAACCCCTTTATAGAAAAACCTGAAATTTTGCACGCTACCTAAGAAAACAAGAGTCTTTCGAAAGAGATATTCACATTCAGACAAGCGACGATTAAAAAGGAAGCAGACGTGTTCGGTCCGGCCGAGATCAGGCGATTGAGGCAAACATTCATGCAGGCTAATATTTTGATCCCGAAGCCACGACTTTGCTTTCTTGGATCAATCATTACCTCGCTGATAAATGAAAGATGTGGTAATAATCAACAGATTGTGACAAATAATTGTCAAGTGTAAATAACGCTGTAAATTATGCATTCTATTAGTTATAGAACTTAAATAACTAAAATAAGTAATAACAGCTCTAGACCATAAGACTACCATTACAAAATTTCGATGTCGTTTGTACTTTTAGATCAGTTATAGACTTCATCGATGTAGTCCAAATCCATTTTCGTTCATCTGAACCAACTCTATTAATATTGGATTCATCTGCGCATAAACTCTTCTGCATTTCAGACAATTCATCTGCGCATAAACTCTTCTGCATTTCAGACATCAAAAAGCTAAGGGCTCGTCCGGGAATTGAACCCGGGACCTCTCGCACCCTAAGCGAGAATCATACCTCTAGACCAACGAGCCACGTTCAACGACTCCCAAGATTTTACTCAAACAGTACACACACTTCCTTTAGTAAAAAACAAAAGAAACATTTACGGTACACGCCAGGAAATCGTACATAGCAGAAATTGAACTATACGAAATTCGCACGTCTTTCAAAATTACCGCTATTACGCTAAACAAAATTAATCGGAGGGCTCGTCCGGGAATTGAACCCGGGACCTCTCGCACCCAAAGCGAGAATCATACCGCTAGACCAGTGGTCCCCAACCCCCGGGCCGCGGACCGGTACCGGTCCGTGGATCAAACGGTACCGGGCCGCCCAAGGAACATTAAATTACTGGTATTCCATTTTATTTACTATGGTTTGTGCGACTTTTAATGGACAACGGAATAAACTGGACATAAGAAACACACTTCGGGTGTCATTGTCTCCTATTACCCCCAGATGGAACCGTCTTGTTGCAAAGAAACAAGCTCAGGGTTCTCATTGATTTAACGTTCTAGTGAGTTAAAATGTTAAATCACATTATATTCATTTTTTGGTGTAACTATATTTTATTTTGAAAACATGTTTAAAATACAATTAAATTAATTAAAATTATTAAATTAAATCAATCTAAAATATAAACAATCAACGTTCCCCCTCAGTGGGCCGCGGTAAAATATCGAACGTTGACCGGTCCGCGGCGATAAAAAGGTTGGGGACCGCTGCGCTAGACCAACGAGCCGTTATTCGCGACTCGCATATCGTGCGATTTCTCACTTAATTTACGACTAAACGTACGTCGATTTCCCATCGTCTCTCCTACTTCCGTTCCAACATACTTATTTAATGGCATAGAAGAGAAAACACGCATTTGCTAAGATCCGATGACGGCAATTTCACGAGGTCTGCCCCAGTGGACATTCTTCTGGTCGCACACGGTTTGCCACTCCGGTACATTATTTTTTTTTTCTCGTTCCGTACAATCAATCAATCAATTTTAATTGTACAAACAAAGTACAGACCGGCCCCGCTGTTCATGCATTACCGGTTATACACATTCAGTTTAAAATACACAGGAGAAATGAAGTACACTTGCATAAATGATGGATGTGAATATACATACATACAAATACGTATATAAAGTAAACGTAGATATGATAAATAAATAAAATAAATAAATCAATGCATACATAAAGTAATAATTACATCAAGTATAACAATTATCTGATATAAATACAAACTTAAACCTAACTATATACAAACTATATACATAATAAGCAAGATTACAAATAGATATGTTTATCATAGTAAGTAAGAATACAATTAATTATGATATAGAGTACAATAGGTACATAGAGTAGAATCTTCCCATGTTGAGGCTGGCAAACAAATACAATTATAATTGATACATCAAAATGTGCAAAATGTTCACAAAATAGATGTCTAAATAGTGAAATGTAATTATCCATTAGATGAGATATGTATTGCAAAAGTTCAAAAGCTGCAAGGCAATCACAAAGTAATG